CAGCAACTCATAATACGTAGGGATAATATATTCTTTGCATTAAAATAATATTTTTTAGGGTTGAATATATTATTACATACAGCAGCATCCCCCCCCAGACTAATCCAAGTAAATATGACACTAAATTCTCCATTGTGCTAAAAGTACACGATAAAAATTCTCGAAACTTGACAAGTGGATACTTTAAATCATTATGAACAATTTCCTCGCTGACTGTTTTATACTTTCCGAACATTTTATTAATGTTTTTTTAATTGGAAGAGTTCATTCCGCGCTTAGCGACGATTGCATAGATTCAGGGACTAATCGGCTCGGGTCGAGCGTCGAAGTGGTTATTCAATCCCGGCCCTTCAAGTACCCTAAAGATATTTCGAACCCGAATCTATGTACAGATAATCGTCGTTAGATGTGAAAGTAAATATAAAAAAGAAAGAAAAAAAGTTCATTTCAAAGTATCAACCACTCACAATAAAATACAAAAATCAAATGAAACGATACAAGAAAAGTTAAATAATCGAAAAAAAGCGGAATAAATGAACTGAATGATTATTCATCTAGATCTAAAGTTTGTGAAAATGTCGAGGAAAAATTGATGAGAAAAAACAGAAGTAATAACTATAGCAAGTGTAAAAAAACTACTGAAATAAGAAAAAAAACATCTTAAACGAAAGTTCATGCCGAAAATAAAAGTCTAAATAAGCAACCAAGATGACGAATTTTTAAAAATAGCAGCTAACAGAGAAGACAGAGTGTTCAAAATTCGTCGTTTCAGGTTAAGAGCGTGTGCATATATATATATATATATCTGTGTTCTCTGCGAGGTGCGGCGAGCGAGCTAATTGGTGGGCCGTCGGTTGCGGTATAAGGACGGCGAGCGCAAGGAGCGCAAAAGAGAGAAATAGAGAGAGAAAATTTAAAGGGCCAATTACACCTGGATTGTAGAATAGCGCGCGTCGTCGAGTTTTGGCCCCATTTTCAACAGTTTTAAGTTTTCAGTTTCGGGCGCGGCCTCGCCAGGTTCTTACTTTATACTTTTTCGCGAATACTCGTCTGGTGCGAAGGTATACTAATTTAGTTTTGTGGCAAAATTTGCTCTATACCGATCTATAGCAATGTTAGCTTCAAGAAAAATCACCGCTCACGCTTCAATATTTTCCTAATAACATTTCAGAACTCAGATTCTCAAAGTGTGGATGTACTTACAGATTGTTAATGCAGTAAGGGTGGTTTTAGATGGTTAAAATTAGTTTTAGACATAATAATTATATAATGTTTGCCTTTTTTACGTATGCTGAGACTAATAAATCATATAAAATGTTTCATTTTTAAATTTCACTTTTTTCGTTTTCCGTGTACGTTCCAAACTTCAAACTCACGTCTTTAAATAAACTTATCGAATATGCTTATAGACCTATAGCTGATATTCAGAACATTTTTTCAAATCTACAAGGTAGAATTGAACGCGATCTACTTTTAAATCGACTCATACTAATATTGTCACTTAGCTTTTAAAAGTTTAAAAGCGGTTTGTTCTTATCGAACTTGCAATTCGATTTGGATGTTTCGGGGAAGAACGTGATAATATTGAACATTAATGTTCTATTTTGCGCAGGTCAATGATAATTAATTACCGATTTGATAATTAAATACAATTTTTAATAGTAATTTTTTTTATTAAGAAAATCATTTTAAATAAAAAGGTAAAAAACAATAAAAAAGTATATTTAGGATGTTTGCTTTAAAACTCAGCATTAGTACGAGAACTTTGACTTTGAATAAATAGCCTTCGACTTGACCGCTGAGTATTATTCTCTGTAGTAAAACATAAAACATAATTAAAGTATCATTTTACGTTAACTGCATCTGTAGTAAAGTATTATTCATTTTTTGAATACATAGGTTCATTTTAACTTAATCTAAAATTTTAAATTGATTGTTCCTTAGAGTTTAAATAAAGAAAATAGTATGAATGAATGAATACATATTTTGATTTCTATGAAAGAAAAATGGTTACAATATACAAAAAATTCTTTTAAGACTTCTCTTTATAAGCATGTTATACTCAATTTCAAGTCTTAGAAATATAGTATATTTTAAATATTTTTTGTAAATAATAAAATAAGTTGTTGATTATTATATCATGCCTCATTTAAATAAATTATTGTATATAAAATCTAAAATACATTCAAATAGATCTCTAAAAACCAGAGATTATTTTGAGATTTGGAAATAAGACTTTTTATTTTGTTTTCACTTTAAATCTGTATTTCATAAAATTCTAAAGTTTAAAACAGGTCAGACAAATATGCGCTAATCTTATCATGTAAACTTGTATTTGGAACATTTAATATATTTTCAAACAAAACATATGTATTCTCATTCTCTTTTGGGCTATAATCACTGATACTTTCATTTACCGCCGATTCAAATTCAGGTGAAGGAATTTCTTTTTTGATTGATTTGCTATCTTCCAAACACCTTTTCTTAGTCCTATAATTTAGTTTGACAGAACAATCACTACATAGTCTCAGTTTAACTAATGTATTGAGATAATTTCCATTTTCAAAATATTTGAAATTAACTTCCCATGTTTTCAAAGTTTCTATATTACTACAATTCTTATCGCCACAAATTCTTTCACCTTTTCCTGTGATAACTTCTTTTTTAGTACGCCATCGAAGAGCTACTTGATTAGTTTTATAACCAGTTAGATCACTGATACAATACTCTTTAAAAAACTGGTCATGATATTGCTTCAGTGCTTGGCGTTCTGCCTCGGTCAATTTATCATCTTTTTCATTTAATAAAAAGGTGTGTTGAATAGTTGACGAGCCATAAGGAACTCGAAAATCCTTCTTATCTTTCAAATTCATATTCATTTTAAAATCCAGTAAAACAACAATTGATTTCTGGAAATTCAAAGCACTTTTGATAAGAAGTTGTGATATATAAATATTAATAATGATTAAGATCATACCCGTTTTTAGCAAATATTGTACAAAAGTAATCTCGCATGTGTAGTATAACATTTTTTGTCAATGGTAATTTATTCTTTGTCTAGACAAAGCCTCATTGAAATCGGTAATTCGCAGAAAAATAAGTTAAGACTCGTAAATTATAGAGTATATTATAGAGTATAAAAACAAACCTACACAATAAAAAACATAACCTAATTATGCTGACTGCATTCAGCTGCGTTTCTTGCCACCTATTGGTGCCTTTACAAACAATACGAAACCTAATCGCAGACGAGAATGACGAGAGTCCAGAGCAGCGGCGAAAATGAAATTGATAAGTACAATTGATACGAGCTTACGCTATCAGGTTATTTTTTTAATTTTTCTTATTTATAGCACTCTATTTAATTTATACATTTGTATCGTAAAAAACGTATACTCATTGACACATGAATATCACAACAAGAATGCTGCTCTATATGTAACATATTTAAGGAACTGAATGCACATATATTGGAATTACGCTCCTCAAAAAGTATTGATCATGTACGAACAATTTGATAGAGTATTTATTCAACATTAGATGTATTGAACACTGCACGATATATCTTTTTTAATTTTGAGGAATTATTGTTAATTTTTGAGGAATACCGAGTGTTGATTTGCATTATAATATTTTGTTATATAAATTACCGTTTTCAGGTATTTATAAGTCAAGTATCTTCATGACAGCTTCACAAGAAAGTATTTTATGAAATAATTAGTATTATTCCAATTCATTTGTAACTGCAAAACTTGCCAAGAAAATTGGCCAACATTAGACCAATTAATAGTACGTTACGATACAAGTACGGGGAAGTAGATACTTGTCTCGTGTGGGGTTTACGCCTGAGCAAAGCGAATGGAAAGTAGAAAGTGCGATTTTCAACGCACGTTTTCTGCCGAGCGTGCGGGAAAAACGCACTTTGTGCATGGAGTATCGAAAATAGTTTTCTGAACTCGGCCGTTCTTCACAATAGACATTATCATCTTGATAAGCTGTTACTATCTAAGAATAGCATAAAATATCATGCTATTCGTGCTACATGCAATGTTTATCTGCCACAGTAATATCTTAATGATCATATAGTATTCTATACGAAATAAATATAGTAATAATCTTTCTATAATAGGAAATTTAATATAATATAATAGGAAATTTCTTTGTGATTCTTAATGTACAAAAGAAAGAAATACCATATAAATAACTGAACTATTACATTTAAAGTATTTAAAAATTATTATATTATTAGTATTTAAAAAAATGTTAAACTATATCCCATATGTTATGTTGATTCAATCGTTCGCACGTTAATGCAGGATTTTGCACAATTTAGCATAACAGATTTGATTGCAATTGGTGTTACTATCCTGGTAAGGAAATAAAAAGTAGAATAAAAGGTCATGAAATATTCACTTCTAATAGTGTCCCGGAAAATAGAAATTCTATTGAAATGTTACGACACACGGAAACAATATTTATATCTTCGACACCAGTTTTTGGCTGAAAAAAAAACGTTCGCGCTAGTTCTCATCTTCTTTACGTTGATTTCGTAGATGGCTTTGTGCTAGACGTTTTGCATGACAGTTTTTTAAGAATTGGTCCTCAATTTGTACATTAGTGGTATGAGAAAAGTAGAAATAAATTTTATATAAAAAAAGAAATTAGTTCAATTAATTCAATGAAAAAATTATTTGAAAAGGAAGAATTTTGAGTATTGGATCTTAAGACTGTTTTTAACATGCACAGAATTTTTAATAGTTAGCTGAATAAGAAGTCAGACACGTATAATAGTTCTAAACAGATACAAAATTTTTCATTTAATCTGTTACAACAATAATTATATACAAAAAGATTCTCAACCCGTACGTAAATTTGTCTAACTTCTTAAAAATGGACGGTTAGTAAAATGTACGCAGTGAAAACTCATCTAATATCATATTTTATAAACGCATATGGTTCATTAAAGTTAAAAACCTTAATTGTAGATAGAAAGGATGACAAAAATAAAATAGTTTTTATTGATGCTATATTTATTATCATTTTTGCAATATCATTATTCCTCTTACCATTTTAGACGAATGAATTAAAAAAAGACGAAATAACTTAAAATTGCTTTGTGCGCATTTCAAAACATTATGAGATTCAAATATACAATTAATGTTTGACTTGACTAAGTCTGAACATTTCACACGCTGCTATTAATCATGGATATTATAACATGAAATAACAGAAAGCTATTCAGTATTTCATGTACATGAGCGAGGCAATATTCAATCCAGGAATTTCAAAATGTTACATAAAGTACAAATATTTCATTGCAACAGATAACGATATAATAAATATATCTATTAAAGCATTCAGTAAAACGCAATGTTACTGGTCGGAACAGAAAAAAAACTTTTGATGAGATATATACACGAAAAGAAAAATCTCAATGCCATTACTTTTATAGTATTAGAAACGAAAATACAATTGGCAAAGCACTTAAATTAACAAGAAAATATATCATTTATATCGTTTTTCCATTCCTCAAGAATACAATCAACACTAATTTTAGTAGAGAGAGAGAAGTACATTTCATAAGTTAGACGTCAATCAAAACCCATTCTTGATGTATATAATTCGAGATTGAAACTTGAAAATAGCGAACGCGCTTTTCTCGAGCTTCTTAATCGACTTGTTCATTAGTGCTTTGAGCAACATCCAAGAGTATCTCGAAGGAGAATGGAGTGAAACTGTAGCCTTGTCCAAGGTAGAATTTGCTCTGAAACTCGACCCTATATCACAAAATTTACATGTGTTTTAATACGTTATAGAAAATTAAAGAGAACATAATTAAGTTGTAATTACCAATGAAGCCTAAGAGTATGAAGGAAAGCTGAAAGTCCCTCCATAAGTACAAGAATTCCGATGGTAAGGACAGCCCACATGGCAAATATGGCCCATAAGGCAATACCTCCGATCCAGCCTGGGGCAACCAATCCATTCTTCATAACCATACTCCACAATACCTCAGACAATTCTGCAATTGATAATAACTCAAAGTCAGCAAAGCGAAAATAAAATATTATATATAAAATAAAAAATTCAACAAAACTCACGTGCATGGGCAAGAGATAACGCCCACAAACGAAGATAAGATGCAGTATGCGAGACACTACCAAGGACGTATTCGATGGTGTGAATACCCTGATGAATAAATATTTCACTCATCTCTTCTTCTTTATCATGGCCACCTCTGGCTTGACCAGCCGCTTGAACAGCACCATCTATGTCGCCATTTTCTGTGCCGTGAGTATTCAGCTGAAATGAACGATAGGAAAGGATCAGCAAAATTTATATTTATTTTATTGAGTCACACAGTAAGCCGAACTATTCTACTTATACACATAAAAGAATTTATTTCTGTCATTGATATACATACATTCTGCTCGAAGGCAAGACGGGCCAGACAGAGAGATAGACAGTTAAGAATCGACAATAAACGTCCAACATTGAACAACGATAAAAGAGATAAATATGTTGAGTGGAAAAAGTGTAAAAAAGAGCGTTGAGAAAGAAAAATACGGAAGTGGACCTACCTGTACGTGTTTTTTCTTTCGTTCCTGCATTATCATGATAGGTTTCGCCAAAAGCATCCATGGGATGCAGAGTACGGCAAGGATTACGAGGAATTTCTCGAAGCCTGACTCGCCACCGTACATGCCTGAATCGCAGTAACCTGTTGCATCGTACTTGCGTTCCACGGCCGGTTTGAACAATACCATGTTGATGAAGGACAGAAGTACCGATGGCGCGCAATATGGACTTGTCTTTGGATCTGAAAGGCAAAATGGTAAAACTTAGAAAAATTGCCAAACGTGCACATACGTAAATACTGTGCTTTACTCACCGGTATTGTATATTGGGTGATAAGGTCCATACTTGATCCATTTGATAAACATGAGGAGGGTCATGTAAAAGAAGAGGAAAAGAAGGAAAATGATTTGCGGTATGAATTCACAGACGATGTTGAGTTGGCGCTTGAAGTATGTATGATTGAAGTAGCCAACGATTACGCCAAATAACATGTGGATGACGCCGAAGATAATGGAGATCTTCATCTTGTAGGAGTTAAGAAAGATAATCTTGTTACTGGCGAGCTGCCATATTGGATCCATACCGAACGGATAAGGATCCTGCTTGTAACTCCATGAAGGGTCTAAAGTCATCGGTGTATTTAGCCACATATTTTTTCCTGAGTAGTTGGACGGTGGAATTGTCCAATGCGAGCCAAAAATATTTAGCGACTTTGAGAATATGTCGTTGTAGATGAGACCTGTCGAATGAAATAAAGATTGCTTGTGTTTTTTCCTCTTTTTTCGCGCAATCCAGGTAAAGCATATCCGGCGTACGCACCAGTATACATGGAGAAAGCGCCCATGAGAAAGATGATATATCTGCCACCGAAGAAGATATTCCAGATCTCGTTGTCGCTCTTCCGAGCAGCAAGTGGTTTCTCCTTAATGATCATCCACAGTCCGAAGAGGAACATCAAAAGACCGTGGCCAAAATCACCAAACATTACGGCGAACAGGAAGGGAAAGGTAATAATGGTGTAAGGCGCCGGATTCATTTCGCGATAAGATGCCACACCGTAAGCGTCGATCAACGCTTGGAAGCCCTTGGTGAACTTATTCGTGCGATTGTACGTGGGGGGATCCTCGAATGTCTCCATACGATTCAAAATTGGTGGCACTGAGCTGCCGCTGCGTTCCTATTGAGCAAAATTCTTTCGTTATTCGCATTACCCGATGAATTTGTAGAACTTTCGCCACTCCAAGTACCAATAATACTAAACTCGAGATGTCAAAACTGTCATAAATGTTAAGCTCGAAGCGATACTTACAGTTCCACGACGCAGGGCAAGTTGAATGGTCTCGATATCGAGCACGGGCACCCAGCATTCAGCGATCAAGCATTTTTGGGTGACGTCGAGATTGAACAGATTGAGCGTGTGATAGATAGCCTTGATCTTGCGCACCTTGACGAACCAATTCTTGATGTTTTTCGCCGCGGCGACGAGCACGCGATGCCGGTGATCTTGCGTTTGACCCAGAACCTACGATGAACCGAATCTCAAGTAAAATGAAAGCCTTGAAACGCACGCAAGCGAATACTCACGGTATTGAGATCTTCGATGCGAGTCATGACGCCCATAGCCATCTCGCGACGATCCGCCGGTGCTTCGGGACATGGGTAGAGAGTGGCACGGAATCCCTCGCAGATTTTCTTCACTCGCGTCTTCAGCTGGTCGCCTTGGAAGAAGATGATGAACACAGACTTGTAAACCTGGTCGCCCTGTCAAGCGGAAGAAAAGAAACCACTCGATCACTCGGTGAATTCAAAGCGAAAGCGTGGCTCGCTCGCGGCTTCAAGACTCGGACTGACCGTGGATGGATCCTCGAGCGGAGTCTCGATCTCAGCTTGCCTCAAGAACACATTGCCGCGGCAGGCTCTCCACAGCATGCGCTCGAAGGCGGGAATGCGCTCGCGTAGAATGACTCCAGCGACGAAGCTACGTTAGGTCGTAGAAGGCAATAATGGACACGGGGTTAAATACAAGACAGCAGCGTCGTACCATTGATTAGCAGTTCGCGCGCGCACACACACTTGGGGCTTTGGGAGCTATGTAACGTTGGATATCGGTTAACATTCTTACTAACTACTGCTATTAAATTATATTGTACAAGTTCTCCAAAGAAAAAAAGTAGATTTGGGCTTTAGCTGGGTTAATATTCACGTCCTTACGTTCCTTGTTAATGATTATCAAACGACTTATTTTCTTTTTATTTTTCGTTCAATCTGTATCGACAACGACTTGTGTGCGGTCGAGGAAAGAAAAGAAAAAAACAACAAACATAGATGATTTCTGTAGCCATGGTCTCGCTCTCTTTTTTGGTTACGTACCTTGGCGAGAGTATTAACTTTCAGCGTGGACGTGATTTCGGTACAAAGAACAATAACAACAAATAAAATAAGACGTAACACGTGGGCAGGTAAACGAACAATAGCAAACAAGGCGAGCGAAACTCTTTGACAACACAAAACTCTGGTGGCGTGTTGATGTATGTGTGTGTGTGTGTGTGTGTGTGTGTGAGAGTGTATTTAAAAGTATCCTGCGCGGGGACAGAACACAATTGTTTGCAATCTTGTGGTGGTCTAATAAAAATAAAGAGAGAGAGAGAAAGAGAGAGAGAGTGGAAAGTTGTTTTTGCAGAGAAGAGTGCGAGACGGTAATACAGCAGGCATAATGTTTACAGACTACAACGTATCGGGAATTTATTGACGCGGACGTGTAGGTGTTTGTCGTGTTAATCGAGGGTTAATTGTATATTTATGGGTGAAGCACATAATTAAACAAATTTTTGTTTTGCCTACTTATTCGAGAAAATTGCAAAGGAGGATAAGAGAAAATAAAGTGACTAATAGAGGAGGGTTTACGAGACATACTCCCATAATCAATGTACTTGAAATCACTTGTATCAAACTGTTAATATTCAACTCCGTATGTATGTAGCTAAGAACATCGACTGGTATTAAGACTACAGTACTGCTTACTGAATTTAGTTCATGCAAAATTCGACTATATTTATAGTAAACTCATTTGGTGACGCTGGCACGCGAACGAGCACTTGGAACGTCTTGAAGTGCGATCAATCCTCTGGCCTCCCGGCAGAAGTAGATCAGTTGCATTTTTGAAAATTTCCACTCAACGATGGCCTCAAAGACAGACTTAGCCCCGGGAAAAATTATTCCCTACCAAGTTGGACAAGTCAATCCTGACATGACCAGTCCTTCCAGGAAGGCAAAGCATTGCACTTTTTCAACTTCAAAGTGATCCGTTGCAAAGTCTCGTGTGGAGCGTGCCAACGGTCAAATTAATGAAACAACAAGTTAATCCATACGATGTATATGAGTCTCCTAAAAGAACAAATCACAATGTATTCCAGCATTGTTATGATCGTTGAAATGCGTCCAAGCCACACGAACATTGAAAACCTGCTCTTTTGCATTATTATTGCGATGTGTCGTCCTTCAAAAGTCCTCTGAGGCGTAGAGACGAAAAAGTGAGACGAATATATTATTGCGACGGCTACACGTTAATTGTGTGCTTCGAGGGGAGGACAAGGGTTAAAGATTTCAGTAGATTCTTTTTTTCAGAAGAAGTGTTAGGGGGTTAGTAGAGGATTTCAAACTTATTTCGATTCCCATCGTTCGTCAAGTTTTTCCTTTTGCAAAACAGTTGATTTCTATACTTCTATCTATTTTCAATATTTACAGTCTTACTTGTTTTAAAAACCATCTGCTTTTTCGTCGGTGTTACTTATTACTTATAAAAATTAACCTATGCCCAATAAAATAAAAAAACTCCCACGATATATTTTTTACCCATCATATTAATAAAATTGTATTAAAAAATTCATAAATATAATCAAAAATCAAATCACACCCAAAAGTAGACAATAAAAAAAAAGAATATTTCACGTTCAGAAAATAGAATAACAAAATTATTTTGCGGTAAATGCTCAATTAAAATAAGCAACGCTTAGTGTTAATCATTGGCTAATCATCAATGACTATCTATCTTTACTCCTCGTTATCAGTCGGTATAGATCTTATTGTCAGTAGATCCAAAATAAATAGGCCTTATCACGGAAGTAAAATCTATTTTGGTGCATTATTTTATTTTATTGAATATTTTTCATTTTCTGAATGCGAAATATCGTCTTGAAGAAATGCAGTAACTTTATCATTACATATCATAAAAAATATAAAATGCGACGTTTCCTTATAATGAATCGATTCAAAAATGTAGATTGCAAAAATGGAATCAACGTTTTAGCGATCATCAGAAATTTAGATCAGTAGACTTTATTGCATGACCGATTACTGCACAACTTCAGAAGTAGAAATACAATGGAAAAACAAAGAAAAGGAAAGAAAGAGAGTGTGAGTGGAGTAAAAAGACATACAGACAGAATGAGAGAGATGGTTGGGTGAAAGAGGAGGTACGTACCCGAGTTGTACGGGGCCGAGGGTTGGCTGGCGGGCGATATTATCGTCGCTAATCAATGCGCGTGTCATGGACTCGGTGGAGTTCAAGCCCGCGTGCTCTTGCTGACAAGACACAACAGAGACAAAGACACTGGATTATAACCGCAGCCACGCGAAACACTTGATTCTTATGCTTTTTTTCAAACTGCGACACCTTGCTCGTCTTTGGTTCTCGGTGCGCATCCGTCGCTTTAGACGTTTTTTTCTCTTTTGGTTTTTGCATTGCCGTTGGTCCGAGACGCAGCCATCTCGTTTCAAGCGTGTTGTTTTTTTTTCAATGTCAGAGCAATGCAAGAACGACGCGAGCGTCTTGGACCAATTGCAATTTAGGTTCCATGCTAAATATGAATTGCCAAATTAGTCGATGCATCGGTATGTCAATGTAATTGTTACTTCGAGGCGCTCAGTTCACTGAGTTTTGGACATTGTTCACGATATCAATGCATGATAATGTGACAGACAAATACAATAAATGGTACAAAATGAAGAAAAAAAAAACAGATGCAAATGGCAATTCCTATTTAAAGGATCGAGAGCAATCTGAAAAGAAATTTACAAGTATAAATGAGTTAATGCGAGGCTCCCCCTTTATCGTGTCCATGCTGATTCCTGAGAGAAAAAAATGTATGTTTCTTGTTTGCTTGTTTTTGTTTGATAATAAAACAAAAAAAACAATCTTACTCTCTTTTGGCGCTGGTGAACAATACAGCAAACACACGCACGCACACAAGCCAAACATACGTACAACAACAACAACAACATAGCAGTGAAGCAGCTTGGCACATCAAGACAAAAAAAAGCACAGTAATAGTCCGAGATTTGCGTGTAATGAACATTCCGACAATACAGACATAAAAGAGTTTACATTGAACAGTATACAGCAGGCATAGGCAGACGTGAAGCACAAGCAACAATGACACAGTGTCGACAAGAAGGTGTATACGCAGTAATTTGTTTATACATACCCATGGCCACACCATCATCATAAATGCATAATGAGTATTTAATTATAAAATAATAATGTTGTTATTCACACGACCTAACAGTCTGAGTCGAGTTTGAAATTCGTGCCGTCGTATATCATTGTCGGTCGATCGTTCGATACAGTTTGAATTGATCTATCAATGTATATGCTGGGTCCAACTGTATCAACGGTTACAAGAACTACGGCTAAGATGAATTTTTGGTTATCAACACAAAACAGAAAAGAGCAGATAAACGTTATCTTAATCTCTCGTCAGGGCGATTACGTTCTCTTCGTTGTTTTGCTGGGCAAAAGCACAAACGCCAAGAGAAGAACGACTCGCGGCAGTTTTTTAATTCGACTAACTACGTTATCAAAAACACGTGTGAGAGCACAATCAAAGATTAATCGAAACCAATTATAAAAAGGAAAACGAAACTCATCGATGTATAATTGGCTTGCCTGAGGGGATTCCTATAGTGCGACGCACCGAGCGACTCTGTGATGGTGTACAGGTGCTGTAAACCAAAGAACAAAGACACTTGCCTTGAGCTTTTTTTTTTTGCGTGCTCGCTTTTTTCTTTGTATAATCGCTTTGATCATATAAATACGACATGTATATATATTATAAGCAGCGTTTGCAAAACAGACATTGTCGTAAGCTCAATCGAACAAAAGTGTTGCTTTCGTCTACTTTTCTAATCAAAAGAATGCACATCACAGCTACGACGGTTAATCAAACGTTAATTTGGGTTTTGTTCATCTTCTTCGCAGACGCCGCGAAAAGACGGCGACTTTGCTTCGCGTACAGAGGCAACATCAAACTGCACAGTGCGATTTTGCGATTTTTGTTTTGCGGGTGCATTAGTGACTGTGATCACCGGAGCTTTTCTCATATTTCGCTATAAAATAATCAAGGGCATGCGTTGCTCTTTTTCGCTTTCAGTCTCGCGCAGCTCGCATTCCAACTGTATGGAGGGCAATTTAGCTCGAGACGCATTAAACAAAGTCAGTCGGGCGTGTAATCTAATCGATCGCGATGACAAGCCGACGGCACATCGATCAAAGAAACAAGAAAAAGAATGCGAGCTGCGACGATGAAAAAAAAGAAAGAACATCATTTGTAGGTTCGTGTGTGTGTGTGTCTGGGGTGGGATGGATGGGAAGAATAAGGTAAGTGAGAGAGAAAGAGAGAGAGAGAGAGAGAGAAAAGTTACCCGAGCTTGAGAGCCTGGCCGCCGGCGCGGAGGCCCTCCTCGCCCAGCAGTGTCACCTGCTCTTCCTCGCGGCTTGGGTCCGCCATCTGCGACACGACACTTCCATGCTCAGCCTGCCAACAGACACTAGTCACACATTCTACTTCTGCCCTGTCTCGAACTTCTGTTTTTTCCAGCTTTAACATACTTGTTTCTGGATTTTTTGTTTTTTTTTATGCTTGGCATTTGGAACGAGATAAACAAAAATTAAAGGATAAGGGAGGATTTTCGTTGGATTAGAAGGAAACGTACTACTTACAATCAGAATTTAAATACAATGAAACGTCTGCAGCATAATACATTTTCAACCGCACAAGCTCGAAATTCGTAAATGTCTCAAAAACTTTCTATATTCGTGCGTGGCTCACTGTTATTTCTAGCTGGACCAAAGTATGCACGACAATTAAAAGTCGTTGCGTAACTATAAATTTCGCGACTTTTTCTACTTGTATAGTAGTACGTTCATTATTCGAAGGTAATCAATAGTAATTACAACGAATAAATAAGGAAAAGTAATGTTGTGGAAAAGAACGTATTAATTCACTACTTTTATACATTTATAATTCTACATTGGTGCTCATTTAAAGTCATATGTGGAATGATTAATCATTGAAATCAGATAGTCGGTTTAGCGATTGCAAATTACTTCCATGTAAATTAATTATTAATACGAAACTTATAATCATAGCGTGTTTTATGTTATTATGCAAAAGTGCGATTGATTAGTTTGCTTTGTTAATTAACAAACAAACAATAAATGTAAATTAAATTATAAATAACAGCTGAAATCATAAAGTGTTACAATAGAAATTGCCATTATAATTTGCATACATATGTTATTAAAATAAGATAACGTAAACAAGCTGGTAAAAAATTAAAGTAAATCGCAAAGTAATTCAAAAATATCCGTTATAAGCCATCACCTATGGATTAAGAGCATATCTTACATAAAGCCGTCACCTGTGTGTAGTGCGACTATATCAAGGATGTGTTATGTCACATCAAACGTGCACTTGTCTGTCAAGTGATACACGCAAAGAAGTTGCATAAAACAAAATACCAAGACAAGTGGAAAAAATAATTTTTTAGTTCCAAACAAGGCGAGATGAATTAAAGAAAATTTCAATAACATAATTAATTAAATAAAAGTCGTTAATTATATGTTCATCCAAAGAATTGAAGCGAAAGAACAGAGGTGCAAAACTGAGTCAATTAACACTTTGTGGGAAAGCTACAAGCATGCTGGATGTTCAAGTGTCTACGACTCTTTACAGAATCCAGTGTGTGTAAAAAATTACAAATAATGGTGATTGGTTACACAGTAACAGTTACATATCAGGAGTTGTTTTTTGTGTTGAGAGGAACTTTCTACAGTGGAACAAATCGATGAAACTTTGGAATTTGTCATAAAAAAGAAACATTACCTCTTGTAAAAATAATCAGACGAGAGAAATGAAAAACGCGACTGGAGACAGGGCAGATCTGCGTGAATTGTGTCAGTCGCAGTATCTGCGACTTATTAGTTGACAACACTAATTCATTAGGTATAGAAGTAAAAAAATTCAATAAAACCCTAAAAAATCACTAAATAGTATCATTAGTGACATACAGAGAAAAAAAGGTACACACATATGGTGCCACGAGTCATTACATTTTTTTCATTCATATGAAAGCAGCTTCATTGACTCAGTGAAATTGAGCCTTAGATAGTGAGCTTTTATATGTTATCAGCTCGTTTCTCCCTTATTATTTTTCTTCATCCAGGTTTGGCTTGACTCAATGACTCATAAACACTGCAGAGAGAAGAGAAATCTAGTTTGTTGTTCTTGCAATTTCGCGCGGCAAAGCAAGTGCAGATACAAAATTAATTTAAATGCTTGTCATGCTTCTTTTACTGGCAGAAAAATTTTTATATAGAATGCTTTCATCACAATTAAAAATTTCACTTTTGACTTGTGCTTCGTTAATAAAAAAGTTAAGAAAAAAATATAGATGAATTCTTCTGCCAGAACCTGGATCATTCTTATATGCTCGTGGCTTAATTTGCCTAATTTAGCTACTCATAGCTTGTGCTCTTAATTATTACAGCCAGCGAGACATGTAAATCAGACTTTCATCAATTTCTTTACACTTAATCTTAATTCACCCAAGAATCTCAAACAAAATTTATACTTTTTCTCTTGTTACTCATAATTTACCAGCTGCTTCTCACAATAAAAATGGCATTGATTAGTTCAAAATATTGTTATTGTTAAATATCCAATCAATCTCACTCATTAACTTAGATATACTTAAAGACATAATCATAGTTTTTTTACCTCGTCAAAGAAAACCTGAGTTTTTCTAAGAATATGTTTAAGTTCTGTCAGCTCAAGGAAATTTCTCTTCAATGCCTCTGCATTTTGATTGACTTCTCTCAACTCATTTTCCAACTTCTCGAAGGTCGCCTCTAAATCGATCATCTCCCTGGGTTGAGGAGCTTCAGGATTTTCTCCGGTGTCTAGCATGGGAATTCCATCTTTCTTTATCTCTTTCTCTAAATAACGCAGCTTTCTTTCCATTTCATCACAACGCCTCACTTCATTAACAAACTTCCTTTGGAACGCATTTACATCTGGATTCAACTAAAATTTGAATAATTTTTAACATTTTCCACATTAATAAATTGATTTGAGACCATAGACATCTATGCTCATGGTTATGATCAACAGAGCATGTATAGCAGTGTACATAAGATATCATTTCAGACTTGTGAGATAGGTCTCTGTTTCAATTGGCACTAAGCAAACATTTAACTTGGTAAATAATGGTACGACTAAAGTTCAAACTATAGGTAAAGAATAGATAAGCAGTCAGGGCTGCAAGCCCAAGGTCAGATTCAGTACATCTTCTGACTAACAAGTACAGGTATCTCAGAGACAGACACAAGCCATGAAATCCCCATGAAAGCCAACAAAGATTAGATAAGAAGAAACATTACTTACATCTCGAAACTGCACCAAACCGAGTTCGCCAAGCTCGCTGACGCAAGCATAGGCAGCCTCGCTCTGCAAGAAGAGCTGGCAGAGGGTCATTTCCTCGCTCCTAAACAGTGAACCCATCTTGCTGGTTGTTTTTCTTTCGTGTATTTTTCTTTTGCGTACTCGTAGACGATGATTTCTATCTCATAGCGAGCCTCACACCACGTTTCTTCGTCGAGACAGTCAGATTTGTCGCTGCTCCAGCTCCTGCCCTCGATGCGTCAGCAAAGATAAGAAACTTTCCCTCTTGAAAGAGTTCTACACTCTGCGCTGGCTTGCCCGCGACGATCGATAGGTGGTCACGAAGCAGTCACGAGGAGCTGATCTTAGCGCACGAATGTTGCGCACAATACAGATGGTATTCTCGCCGTTTCAACTTACAACGATATTGCAGTTTTCTTACTTATCATGAGCATTAAACTTTAATTTCTAACTTATTAGCGGCTGCAATAGTAAATTTATTTGTTATAATGGATTCTTTACTTGATGTACTGTTAATATGAATGAAAAGAATAAGATGTTTATTGTTTCAAGAGAAAAATAAGGGATTGAAGACAAACAATGAGGGCGCTGAAAGCAGAACAAAAATCCAATCGCAGACACCAATCATGATATAGCACTGCGTCGGCGCAAAAGGTGTCATATGATCGTGAGCACGGGTTAGGGTGGCTAGTGCTACCTGTGAGGATAGGAGCATTTTTTATCATACTTGTAAATGATAACAGCAAGGATGTTTGCGCGGATCGTTTGCCTTTTTACTGCCCTCGTCGTCTTTGGTAAGTTTTTATCCTCTAAATTTTTCATAAGCTATTCACAAATGACGAAGCTAGAATTGAACATTCACCGGGGGGTGTGGTGGTCGTGTATAAATTTTTAACTTATTATTAATGATGTATAGTGCACGCGAGCGGCGATTTCGTGCTACTTCACACCCCAGACAGCGTAATTTTCAAGGGTAACAAGGAGATTGATCAGAGCCTTCTTAAGGAACTATTCTCTGCTTCTCTTGGATTCACTGTCAAACAGGTGTGGATTTATTTTTAACTTCAGATGAGCCTAGTTTGTTTGTAGTATGTTTAAGTAAATGTTTTTATTTTAGAAATCAGCATGGAATGGAATAGCAATCACCAGTCCATTCAACCTTCCTGAGGCAATTGTGGCTATTGCTGTAGAAGGAGTGGAGTCTTTAGGAGCCATCAAGGGCAAAAAGTTTCCATTGAACGTCGATGAAGTTGAGGAAACTACCTGGCAGGCTTTAAGTGGTCGACTTGAAGAAAGAGATAGTGATAATACTCTTGTGAGAATTTACCTTGGAGATGGTTTAGATGCTGTAAGTACTTTGAATTTGGAGCCGGAAGTTATATTAACCATTTATAAATTCTAATCATGTCCTTTAATTATAGTTGGGTCAATCTGCTCTTGGAGAACTAAAGCCATCACCAATTGATGAATCTTTTCTAAAAGCACTGAGTCTTAAAAGTGATGAAGATCGTAAGTTCTTGGATGAAGTGCAATTACTCCGGGCCATTGCTAAAAAAGTACCAACTGCTATTAGCACTGACAGTAAACCAGATGTTTACTGGTTGGTTGTATCTGGCCTAAAATCTGTTTTTGATGTTCATGGAAAAAATTCTCTGGCTGCAAAAGAAGCACTTACTTTGCTTAATGAAGCTCTCCATGATGTTAGCAAAGCTTTTATGAATGCTTATAAAAATCAGGTATATTTTTTACTATTAACAGACAAATTTTTTTGTTATAAATAATAATTAAAAATATTTAATATATTTAGGTTCTCATTGCTGCCTTTACTAATGATGCTAGTCAAGTTCGTCATACACGCTCTATTTTGAGAGAAAAGAGGGATACACCAAAAGTTGGAACTCCATCAGTTAGTATCAAATTGAAATAAAATATTTTAACAATTAACTCTGAAATAATTTTGAAAGAGTTAAACGTTATTATTCTATAAACATAAATATTTTTTAAATAATAACTATTCTAGAGACTAACGGATTGAAAGTATTTCCTATGAAAAAATGCCATTTAGAATTTGCTGTTTCACAAGCACATAATGCTTTGAACAATATCTTCTACTTACTTTGACTCATTCTATAAGTTACCTTCAAAACTATTTCCGATATTATTTTATATTAACTTCAACTATAAGACTATTAATTTTAAACCAAAGAAGAGTGTAAAGCGGTAATCGCATGTCTTTCAATCACAAAAGGATTATTTAAAATTCATTAGCACTTGGGTCATTTTTATTATGTGTATTATTATGTGAATCATGAAATTATAATAGCAGGAAGGAAACAAGGAAACAGAGAAACTGGAAACTCCAAAAGACAATGATACAGTGCAGCCCGAGGTAGTAATTATAAACTCTTGAGAGTTGTTTTTTACAAGTTTTAATGAATTTATTTAACAAATTTTTATTTGTAGATAACACGTGATTTTTAGTTGCATAAAAACCTTTTTTTATCACAATTTAATAATTGACTATACATTAAGATTATTTGTTGTGATTTTGTAATGCAGGAGGGTTTTAAAGAATTAACTCTTTACGAAAATCCTGTTCAGTTTCAACAGTAACCTTTCGTTTCTATAATGAGTCCTTCCCTATGAATGTATCAAAATATGCTATTATTTTATTTTCATTTCGTTGACTTTTTAAGTAATAGAACACAACTTATTCTTGTTGCTTCACATAGATTTTGCATGAATCATAAAGTATGATAAACGGAATTCATTTAACAATTCAAGCATTTATTAAACGTAATTCTATAGTTTGCATCTTTTTAATACTTTAGATAATTGTTGATAAATATTTTATTTAAAAATTATTTTAAATAACAGAACGAGAAAGACAGTACTAATAGCAAGGAAAATTTACTCAAATCTGAATCTGCCAATTCCGATGTTGGTGATTCACAAAACTCTAATAGTAATGACCAAACAAAAACGCATGAAAATGATAAAAATAGTGCAGATCATTCACAAAACCCAGAAACTAGCAATTCCGCTGCTAGTGAAACACAAAACACTAACACTAATGGCAATCAAGGTACACATGAAAGTAAAGATAGTGAGGAAAATATACGTAAATCAGAAACAGGCAAATTATATGATACTGATACACATGACACTAATACTAACGGCAATTCAGATACACAGAAAAATAATGCATCCATCAAGGTAAAACTGTACATGGAACATATAAACAAAATTTCAGCTTTGCTTGGAATGTCGTATCATTTCTACATGTATTTGTATATTTTCATATTTATTAACAAGATGACTATTTCGGCTTCAATATTTGATGATCCTACCATAAAAACCTCCATTTCGAGTATGGTAAATACTACATCTTGATTTCTACAGTGTCGAAAACCAATCTTTAGTGTTTACTGACTTAAAAAGGGTGTAGTTCTATATTCAATCCGAATTATTTATGTTCGTGCACATCTCAGAGCGATTCAATCGATTTCAAATGGGGGCAGGACTCGTTTGAAAGTGTATGTTTCTGAGATGTTCCCAATTCATTATTAAGGTGATTGAAGCATAACTTTGCGAGTATTACCAATTTTGGAATCGGTTTTTTTTTGAAAAAATTAGTCTTATTTGTTAATAGTTCTACCATCTTTTATTTTTTATGATGTTCATGTGTTTAATTTATTATTTTTCAGTTATAGCCAGTTTGTTTATAGTTGTTGGCAGCTAGAATACATCCAATATGAACCACATACAGATTCTGCTTAATTTTAATAATCTACGTTTTTTTACAGCCTGACAAGATTAACCTTGCAAAGGACTATGATGATAATTATCCAGTCATCTTTAACATTATTCTTTGGTTTGGTGTTGTATTCTTCTTTGCTCTTCTTGCAATCTGCAGTAAGTTTAATCTACTTGTTATCTATATAAATATTTTAAATAAACAGTAGATAAAAAAATCATTTTTGTTCTAGTCTTCATTGCTGAAATGGATCCAGGACGTGATTCAATCATCTACAGAATGACATCTAACAGAATGAAAAAAGATAACTAAATTTTATAAAGAGTAAAATGTACAACTTGAACTATTGCTACATATATTTTAATTTGAAATTTGGTTACAAACAGTTAACTGTATAACTGTTTTTGAGTGTTAATACCATCAAGCTGGTTCAACCAATGTTACTTTTAATGTAAATACACCTGCAACAAAGACGTTTATATGTATGAAAAAGATATACGTTGCAAGAATGTGTGAATGGTGTTGTGAGACGTAAGAATACACGTGTATATTACAAAAAACAACTTGTATTCAAGAAAAACCGCACAGAACTTTGTTGAATTATGAATATTCATTCCTATGAGTTTCTTTCCTCTGTGCTTCAAGGGAATACCCATATATAATATATTTTAAGTGTTCTGTAACTACGTAATTAGAAGAATAATTCCCTTTGCACGGCTGTGGATGAAACGTATCTTCAGTATTTTCAAAGGGATTTGTCACATTACAGTTTAGATCGCTCTATGATGCGTGAAAGCTTATGTTGATTCAAATTCTATACTTACGCCTAAAATACAAACCTGTAAATAATTGTTTACGTGCTGTTTTCATTAGGAAGAAAAACGTACCGTTAATAATATTAATTCGAGAAATGTTGATTTATGAGCTGTCTTATAATTGAAAAAATGTATTATTTTTGGTTTTTAAAAATAAAGGTCTAAAATAAATTGATAAGAAAAATTAACGTGATCTGTCAGTGTAAAATCCATTGAAAATGTTCAATATCGAGTAATCATTGTAGAACATTGATTTCGGAGTTTTGTTTTTGACCAGTGTTTACAGTCACAGACATTTAAATATCAGCTGAGCAGGATGAGCACGCCACTCCCATTGATAGTTGTCAAAGTCGCTTCGAAACAAGACACATCAATGGTCTGTGCAACTTGTACTATATCAACGGAATGAATAAAAGTTTCTTATCAATATAAAAGTCGCAAAAAAATCATACGTATAGTCTCATATATCCTCTTGAATAGGTGAAAATAAAAAAAAAGATTGTAAAAAAATTATTCGTGATGCTACACGATTTCTCTCGTGTGACCTCTGGCTCACTCGAAAAGGGCAAAACAGCATTCCAGTCTGCTATTGGTCGGCCGCCAGCGCTTCTCAGTCCAGCGTTAGCAGTAGAAAGAAGAGTGAATACTTATTACTTAGCTCACGCGTTCCTGTTAATATATTTATCTTGGAGTCGAGTGCACACCTATCACAGACCAGCAACGAAATAAAAGAGAGATTTTAGTTTAAGGAAACGAACCAAGGATAATACCTAGGTGAATTTGATTTTTAAGGGCAAGCTTCTCGCGACGAACATAACCAATTTTTTATTCAGACACATCGTTTGCTTTAGGCGAGGAATTCGTCAACTGTGGATGTTAATTTTTGGATAATAATTATTCGACAATTGCGTGTCTCTATCTATCTGTCAAGTATGCCGGGGTAAGCATACGTCTATACACATGACATTTAGACACGCATAATTCGTTTATCTATTTTTGGCTCTGACTCACAATGCGTGCAGTGCACTTACACACATTTACTTATGAGAGCCACCACCTTAATTATTTCATATTGATCTCACGGTCATATATTATCGATGCGGCTTTTACAGACTAATGCTTCAAGGCACAGGTGAACTTCGCGTTTTAACGCTTGTTAGCAAGCTGCCAACTGGTTTTGGTATTTTCCTCACCCCACCCATTCCTCTTTCTCTTTGTAAACTGCAAACTCAACAGAATACAGAACTGTACAGTACTGCAGTATTGTTGAAAACTCCACTCCAGTGTTTTATCTCTGGTTGGTTTTTGTTATCTATTCACACGCACACTATTATAGCATATCAGAAGAACTCAAGTTCATTTATGTCATTACTGTGTTGGATCCCATAGTGATTTATTACAAATTACAAGTGGTTTTGTGTGACTCACACCATGGTTGATAATTATGGAGTTGCTCCCTTTCCTAAATCCATATCATTACTGTCGCTGAGTAGCAGCAAGCTATATAATAGACGTATGGCTAGTTCTAGAGATAACATGAATTCTTCTCAAGATACTCATAATGATTCTGATCATTTGATCCCTGCCACGCAGTTACTTGATTACGAGGAACTGGAGTGGCATGTTGTAGAGAAACCTTCTGTGTCTGCTAGAACTTTTCAGAATTATTATGGCAATGATAATAAGACTAAAAGCCATTCTAACAAGTCTGGGTAGTATGCATTTGGATATTTTTATTTTTATTTATTCTTGTTAGTTATGTATCAATTAATTATTAATGATAGTTTCTTTTTCATTAACATGCAATAGGTTCAAAATATATTCTGTGCAACGACTAATTTATTATTCATTATTTTAGTGTCATCAAGAACATCAGTTTCAATATGTCACTGGACAACATGTACTGCTCAAGATGCCGGGAAGGCTTTGAGCCCAATGAAAAGATTGTCAACTCTAATGGAGAGTTGTGGCATCCTCAGTGTTTTGTGTAAGTTGAAGTACCTTCATACGAAACTAAAACTTTGTTAAAACTAAATCAATGATGTGATTGCTCTATAGATGTGCCCAATGCTTCAGACCATTTCCAGAGGGAACATTCTATGAATTTGAAGGTCGCAAGTATTGTGAACATGATTTTCAAGTTTTGTTTGCTCCATGCTGTGGAAACTGCGGTATATTTTTTATAGCTTTCGACTTGTAATAATTGTTTTCAAAAAATAAAACAAAAAATTTCAATCAGGTGAATTTATTATTGGTCGAGTCATCAAAGCTATGAATGCCAACTGGCATCCAGCGTGCTTCCGCTGCGAAGAATGCAATGGCGAATTGGCCGACGCTGGATTCATCAAGTGTCAGGGTAGAGCTCTCTGCCACGAATGTAACGCCAGATACAAGGCTGGAGCTTTTGGAAAGCCCATTTGTTATCAGTGCCAGTGAGTTTTTATTCATCGATTTCATTGGAATATATTTGAATTTCAACGGTATTTTTAATCATTTGCATGAATTTTACTCAGCGGAGTGATTGACGACAAGCCTTTGAAATTCCGTGGCGAAGTCTACCATCCATACCACTTTAATTGTACTGCCTGCGGAGTCGAGCTCAATTCCGACGCGAGAGAAGTTCGCTCGAGAGCTGGATATGCGGCTAATGAAATGGTATGTAGAACTCGTCAATCATGCCATTGTCAGCGCATTGACACATCTGATTGATTCAATTTATTTATGACAGAATGAACTTTACTGTCTGAGATGCCATGACAAAATGGGTATCCCAATCTGCGGTGCTTGCCGTCGGCCCATCGAGGAAAGAGTCGTTACTGCTTTGGGCAAACATTGGCACGTCGAGCACTTCGTCTGTGCCAAATGTGAAAAACCCTTTTTGGGTCATCGTCATTATGAGAAAAAAGGTCTTGCCTACTGCGAGACTCATTATCATCAGCTCTTTGGCAATCTTTGTTATGTATGCAATCAAGTAATAGCCGGCGATGGTAAGATTTTTGTTTTGCGAAATTTGTTGTCGCATTGTTTATAAATAATATTTTTATAATTTCAGTGTTCACTGCATTAAATAAAGCTTGGTGTGTACATCATTTCGCTTGCGCTTTCTGCGATCAGAAGATGAATCAGAAAACTAAGTTTTTCGAATTTGACTTGCGTCCTGCTTGCAAGAAATGCCACGAAAAGTTCCCGGCTGAGCTGAAAAAACGGCTACGACGCATGCATGATTTCGCTCCCAAGAAAATACCCAGCTAAGCTTAATATCGTTGATTTATTTGGTAGAGATTTGATAGTAGTATTTGTTTATTTGAAAAGTCAGTATTGCCATTAAAGTCAATCGACAAATAACTTTATCGCTTCGAAATGAGAAAAACCTGCTTTGTATAATTAATTTAATGAAAATACCGGACGTAGAGTCGTTAACCAAAATGTGATTGAAATAATTATACACTGCCTTACCGATGTTGCCAGATAGTTTTTTTTCAAATGAGCTTAATACAAAATAATGAAATACTGCTTTGCAGTGAATCTCATTACAGAATATACTGCTATAGTTTTTAATTTTTATAGTAGATAAAAAAATGAATATATAATTGATCGCATATCAAATTCAAAATGCTTTCTGTCTAAAACTTTTTTAGAAAATTGAAAACATCTTTGTAAACCAAATTTTTTTCCAATTTTATACTAATTTATACTATTTAAGCATTAAAATTTGAACGTATCAAATTACTACAATATGAGAAAATTTTTAACAGTTTTAAACTAATTCATTCTTAAATCTATACATCATATGATTAGTAATACTTCGTATACAGAGTATTTTATATATATAACACTATTAACTCATACCGGGTTGGATAATTGGAAAACCGATTTATCGGTTCACTTTGTGACATGAACTTTGTATATAGTTGATACATGATACCAGATACTAATTTGACCAATTTTCAAGGGCGATTGCAATCCTTAAATCTCAGCCGTTTAAAGGTTAACAGCGTACTTATGTAAGCAACTAGTGCCTTAGTATACTAACCGACGAATTTTATAAGAAAAAAATACCATATCTAAGTACCCACTCCAATGAAAAACAAAGAAGAAATATTTATTTTGTTTATCAAATAACAATAAATGATAGACAGGCTTGGTAATTACTCGAGTCATCAGAAAACGAAACTCACTATTTTTTGTATACTGGCCTCTTACTAAGAATGTACAATTCAGCGCTTCCACTCACTACTTACGATATCGTTTTTATTATTCTGTTTGTAGGTTTTCAGTTTTTAACCATGTACAATTACACATGTTACAAATAAAATAAAATAATAAATAATCAATCTTTTTTTTTGTCACGAAAATGTTCTGTACAGTTTTTCACTGTTTAAATGTAATAATTTATGATCCATATCGTTATTTTACGTTGTTCTTCAATATTTATCGTGTCAAAAATTATGAGACAGGTCGATAAAAATAAAATTCATTTAGCAAACTTTCAGCCTGTTTCAGTTATCTTTTTTCCAAAGTTATACTTAATTTTCGATAATATCGATAGTCGAGATAATAGACTAATATCAACGACCCAGATTGATGAAAAAGGTACAGGTATATTATTAAAGCTTACATACAAATTTGAAAACCAATGCGCCCTCGGAAAAAAAAGCGCGCTTATAAAAGAAATCTCATTGCAGTAGCTTGTACATTATCAAAGTGAAAAAAGAATAGCAATGAGCAATAAAAAGAAATTGGTGCGCGATGGCTTATCTGCCTTATACATACGCATCGGCGCGATAAAAAGCTTTAGAGCAGCTCGCGCAAACCGAAGAAACCGAGCACGCGCTGCTCGCGTTTTCCGTATACGCACCATCAATAGAGAAGTTCTCAGTCTCGCGGTGGCAGCCTTCGCGCGAGGAGCTTCGTCCGCGCAACAAGACAACTCGCCGTGTGTCTTTGCCCGTGACGCCGATGACGTGATTATTATTGCGTTCGCCGAGCTGCGCGTTTTTGCGCGTGTGACGTTTCTGTGTTGATGATGGATCGGACGAGCTCGTTTATCTAAAGAGGTGCGTGCAGTGCAGATTTTTCTTCTTTCCATTCATTAACGTAACTCTGCTTAACTCGGTGCCATTGTTGTTGCTGTTGTTTTTTCATTGTCGATTGTCTGGTTCTTTCATGATTCATCGAGCGAATGTCGCAAATTATGTAACGATGTGTTTGTTTCAAAGATACAACAAATACACCTGCAACACACCTCATTACCACAGGCGATCTATAAACCATCGCTTTATCACACTAAAAAAAGAACTAGAACCTCGCGGTATCGAATCATTCAGGCGTTGTAATACGCGAACAAAAAATAACGTTCGTCGTTATCAAGCCTCCCTCGTACAACGCCTTTATAGAAGTGCGCACACGTGCGCGCCATGCTACGTAAGCTTATCTATCTCTCCGCGGCTAATGTATGTCGAAAATCTTTGAGGCGCACATCCACGAAAATCGTGCTTGCACCATCAGACATCCACGATGATAACGCTTGAAAGCGAGAAAGAACCGCTTTGACGGCCTTGACTGACTTTTTTTTTCAAATCTCTCTCAATTGCAATTACGCGTAATCGAACGTGGAATTAAATAAGACGTTGATGATATATCGATGAAAAATAAAATAAGCATCTCGATAATCGATACGCGTGCATTTTAAATTGAACGCGATGACGAAAGACCACTGTATTTTGTTAACGTTTGATTAGCGTGAAACAATAATACTTCGCACGACCAAACGATTTCCATTGTCGTACCGCGTGTATTCGGCAGCCTTCGCGACAAGAAAATGTTTTGCGCGGCGCGGCAAAAGTCGAGCAGCGAACGGATTCTAAAGAGGCCTAAAACAATAAGCCCACTCTGCGTATCTACTCGCGAGCTAACGAGCGCAACGAAAAATCTAGGATGCGCACTTTGAATACAATTCCCGCCGGCGGATATAGATTTTTCAACGGGGCGTCTGTCTAGACGCGGGCCGCCTTTCACTTTCCGAAAAATGAAGAAAGCGATCCTCGAAAGGACCGCGCTTGTTGTAAGAGAAAAGAGCAGCGGCCGAAACTCGTCTATCCGGCTCGTTAAAATTCGCGTTGCCCCTTCCCTTCCCCCCCGCGCGGGCGCGCGCGAAGCGGCCGATCAGATGCGCGCGCGAGTAATTGCGATGATTGTTGACGCGCTGCTCACAATATGCGAATGTTACTCGCAGTGAGAGAGAGAGAGAGAGAGAGAGAGGATGGACGCCGGCGGCAAGACCCGTGGTAGCAGCAACGCCAACAAGCCGAACTCGGCCTACGTGCCGCACAATCGGCTCTCGAGGTACTTGGCCGCTCTCTCCAGCCTCGCGCTCGTCAAGTTCAAAAGGTGAGTGCCGCCCATGCGAAGCCCATTCGGCGATACTCGCCACGGCGACCTGCCCTCCTTTTGCCATTTAAACGCGATTCTCACGCGAATCTCAATGCCGACGATCCTGCAAACTTCGCGAGCCTACGCTGACGCGCGATAGGTACCTAGATTTCTCTCAAATTGACGAGTGATTGTTTTCTATAACAAGCCACACTCTCCCAAGCAACTTTCTCATTAACAGATCATTAATCGAGCAGCGCCTCGACTTTACGTACGGCGAGCGTGCATCGCGGCACTGAGCGCGCATCGTCGAAGATTCACGGAGCGTACATTTGGGAAGATCCTCGGCGATAATTATCCTCGAAATCCTATGTGTACGTTACATGATTCACCGAGCAAACGTTTGCCTTTCGTGATACGAGCAGGTAAAACGTGTCAATCGTTGATAACGAATACGCGCACGAAACGTACGAAGTGAGATCATCGCGTCGACGTTAGAATTGCGTAAAAAAGAAAAGCCACGATGGCTGCGCCTTCGGTATCGGGGGTTCAGAGGCTGCTTTCAACGAAGCTAAGTATGCCTGCGTCGCGTAGTCAGCGATCCACGCCGGCAGACACGGCCCAGCGATTGTCAAGATCTGCATCGTGACGGCGCGAACGCTATCCAAATACAAATAGCCTCGGCGCGGGCTGTTTTCGTTTTCGCTCGATTGTTCGCGCGACGATGATTTATCTGAAATGCCCTAGCGCTCTGGGTTCGGAGCTGCCGCTGGACAAGATCGGCCTGTTCTCGTCGGCGTCGTTCAGATGGCTCAACGAGTACCTCTACGCCGGTTACAAGAACGGCATGAAAGACAAGACTCTGCCAAGCTTGTCGCACCGAGAAACTTGCAATGTCAACGGGCCCAGGTGAGCATCCAACACGTCAATTTTGTCGCCTATCGCACTTACGATCGAGCCGTCGCACGTTTTCACGAGCTAATAAATCGCTCGTGCGTTCGTCGCAAAGTTACGCCAGCTGTTTTTCGGTGATGTTTTCTGAGAAATCTCTGATGGGAGGAGAGAAACAGAGGTCAGAGATTAATGCCGGGTAATTACCGTTTCATTAGAGGCGCTCTAAACAGAAGTCAGCGCGTCGATCAATGGCAATTAAATTCAAATGCGGTATACGTTACTAGACGACGTATACCCATATATGTTTACAAATAAAACTATACTAGAATATCACGTTCGCGAAACATTTAACGATTTCACCAAGTTTGTAATGAATTTATTTTTACGCGTTTTTGCCGTGTAGTTGAGTTATCCTTTTCTACAGTGTGTTTTGTAATGTTCAGTCTCACGATGAGTACTGAATTTGTCAAAATCTGATAAGATATTAAAACTTGATTAAAAAACTAAAAATTTAGAAGTTATGAAAACTTATTATCGTTCACAATAATGAAGGTAACGTTATGGAGAATCACTGTACAGCCAGACATTCTTTCTCTCGTCTTATTGTACACGCTCTACTACTCGGAGCTCCAGATGGCCTGAATATTGAAAAAAAAAATGGCGGCAAATTACCTACTAAATTTGTAGGCAATTTGCTTTTATTTCATTAAGCCAGTCGATCGTTTTGTTTTTGTAAGTAAACCGCACTTGCAAAGAAAGTATAGCAAGGTAACGTCAATCTTTGCAGATTGGAAGGTCTGCTGCACGCACAATTCGTCGAACGTGGCCAAGCAGGCGCATCGATGGTCGTGGTCGCTTGGCAATTCGTGCGAACGCGATTGATCGTCGGCTCGGTGGTGCATCTACTCGGAACCCTCGTCTCACTCGCTGGACCGGTAAGTCCCTCGAACGTCAGACGCATTCGTTCGATCGGTCGCGCCGACGTCCTATTGCTTGTTGCAGATATTCGTGCTGAGCGAGATAATCCGAGCGACGCAAGACCGAAACGCGCTGAATTTGGCAGCGGGCACGCCGAACAGAACCGCAGGGGCGAGTAGCAACGCGAGCGACGTGACTCGCTCGAGAAGCAAGGAAATCATGATCGACGAGCTCGTCATTTTCAGTCACATTGGCCTCCTGATCGCCGTCGAGATCGTCGCGCAATTCCTCATCGCTTGGAGCTCCTCCCTGAATCTGAGGTACCCGCTCGGCGAAAGTGCGCGCGTGCCTTTTCACCTCGTTATCCGCGAACAATCCGACACTTACTTCTGCGCAAAAAATGGAGCAGACGAAATGATAAACGTCCATTGTTCGCGCGTTGCAGGACGGCATGTAGATTACGCTCCGCTTGCCTCGCGGTGGCTTACAAGAAGCTGCTACGATCGTCGCTCAGGTGCTCCACTGCCGCCCAACAGGTAACTAAAAGCCATGTTTTCCTTTATTTTTTCTTTCTCATTGTTCGAGACTCTATACTTCACTCGGTTCGCCTCATTTGTTCCCTATTGATTAGTCATCGTCTTTGATCTCTGTACAGTACGCGGAGCGACGTTTAATTAGTCATCGAGTGCGGCGTTGATCGGATTCTTCGCTCGGTATGAAATTTGCTTTGATGGTTATCGAAGGAGATAATTACGCGTTGATGTTTGTCGCGACTGTTCGAGTGCAAATAATAAAGGTCGGAGCAGAGAGACGCGACGCTTTGAGAGCAAATAAGGAGCTCGGTTTTTCTGCTGGTTAATACGAAGGCAAATCTCGGGAGAGAGCGAAGAGTGCGTTTTTTGTTTCATTTTTTAGCAATCGCTATGCGCATCCTGGCAACTCGCGATTTCTCGCACCAGGAGGTTCGGCCACCAGGAGAGTCGGAAAAAAAAAGCGCGGGAGATCGCCCGTTGCGGGGACTTTGTGAACGCTACGAATAATCGGACAGCGTGTCTGTTTCAGACCCTCACCTACTTTGTTCCAGACAGCGAGACGCTGCACGAGCTCATCGGCATGGGTCCCCTGGCGCTCAGTGGCCCAGCCGTTCTCTTGATCGTTTCTGCTTACACCTGGTACACGCTCGGGAGATGGGCATTACTTGGCATTATTGTTATTGTTTTGCTCTATTGCTGCATGGTTAGTTCCTATACACGTTCTCCTCATTTATTCACCAATTTTATCGGTTGACGTAGCAAAAACGAAAATTTTCGTCTGGCAGTGGGATGCAGCATAGCGTAAGAAACATATTTCTCTTGTTTCCCAATCATAGAACAATACTTTTCAATATTTTAAGAAGACTGCTGCACTTCTTTAATGTAATAACAACAGCTTTTAAAGACCAGGGTTAAATATATTGTTAAGAAAAAGTTGTTGTTACAAGAGGCATTTCGACTCAAAATAAGAAATCTTTTTAAATCGTTAAGATTGATGATTAATAATGCAACCAATAATGCAAAATAGAGCAACTAAGATAACGTTACCACTTTTTATAATATTCGTATTCCTCAAACATAAATAATTATAAAGTCGGGTGAAAATTTTGCGCTGGAAAGCTGAGCGTTTCATCAGCTCGGTATGGCAGGTTACACGTTGATAACGTTATCAAGAGATAGTAAAAAGATTGATTTTTTCGATTGATAGACTCATTCTTTTTTTCTTCTAGATTAAGCGCGTTCGAACAATATGTAATGCAATCGATCTCTAAAGCCATTATTAACGAAAATAATATCGACACAAGTTACTCAATTTATTTAAATATTACAATTTTTAATCGTATTATTTGAAAAAAAGTCGTCTTACGCATCACGCAAAGTTTAATATGTTAAGGGCAGTGCGACCTATTTATGGATCACATGTTTTTGGTTCTTTTTAATTGCATAAAAAATTGTGTCTACATCGCAAATATATTTATTTCGGAGACGTATCTTTTCGAAGATAAACTTTTTTCAATATACGGAATATTCGTTGAGTAGCAATAAAGAAATAGAGCAACGTTTGGAATTAAAACAAAAATGCACCGCTACCCTCAACGCGTTGGTAGAGAACAAGGTAGAGACAGCATTGAAAAGAAAAAATGCCCATACTGAAGCTCTAATTTTGCACAACGACAGATAATAGCCGCATATTTCAACAAAGCATTCGCCGCACGAGCGATCGAGTACTCGGTGCGACGAATGTCGCTCGTCGAGGAATTCATCAATAACATCCAGCTGGCAAAAATCACGCAGTGGGATCGTTACTTTCAAGACAAAATCAGAGGTACGACTCGAAGGCCGTAGCAAGACGAAAGTAAAAAGAAAAAGAAAAAAGCAGGGAAGAATTACGACTCGTCGACGGGCTTTGTTTTCTCAGATATTCGCAACCGTGAGCTAGCGGAGATGCAGTTCGGCAATTTCAGCGAAGGCTGCGGCCTGTCGATGGTCCACACGATACCAATCTTCACCGTGTCCACCGTCACACTGTTCGCCATCGCTCTAGAAAAGCAAGTGTCCCTGGCCGAGGTAAGCGCGAAAAGAGAGCCGCCGAGCGCGCGATTCTAAAGCGCCCGACGTCGTGCGTGCAGTGCGTGCCGGTGCTGGTGCTGTTCCTGATCAACCTGAAGCAGTGCATCCGCGCGAGCTGGACCGCGCTCAGCAGTATCTCGCGGGGCCTGGCTTTCCTCAACAAGCTCAAGGTACGTAGATCGTGCGCGCGCGGATGCTCTTACACGCGCGCCCTTCCTCGTTCCAGGCGATACTCATACTGCAGGAGACCGAGCGCTATCTGGACAAACCGATCGACCGCAACTTCGCCGTCATCGTTCGCAATGGGCACTTCACCTGGGCGAAGAGCAAGCCGCTCGCAGGGCAGGCGTCGAAACGCGCCTCGCGGTACGCCTCGTTCCGTTGTTCTATTCCGCGAGCGTCGCGGACTCGCCGAGGAGAGTAACGTAAAAAAGCTTGCCCCTTCCCGCTCAGCTTCTACGTGGACGGTCAGCAGGGCAACGCGGTGGACTTCGACTTCCCGTCGACCGACGTGAGCACGATATCGGGAATCGAGTTCTACGTGCCGAAGGGCAAGCTGGTCGGCGTGTGCGGACCCCAAGACTCAGGCAAGACGTCCTTCTTAATGAGCATCCTCGGTCATCTGCAGTGCGTGGGCGGCACCGTCGCGATCGATGGCACTCTCGCCTACGTGCCCGCCGAGCCTTGGCTCATGGACGGCACCGTCAAGGAGAACGTTTTGTTCGGGGAGAGCTACGACTCCAGCAGGTACGGCTCGAAGCGCGGACACGCGAATGAGACCGGCTACACGGGTGGCGAATTGGCGCAGGTACTACCAGGCGATCCGCTCGTCGAACCTGCACAGCGAGATGCCGCGGCTGGCCGAGCTGGACGACACCGAGGTGTCGGCGGCAGACCTCGGCCCGGTGCTGCGCCAGAAGATCGGCTTGGCTCGGCTGGTCTACGCGCAACGCGATATCAATCTGCTGGACGAGCCGCTTGCCGATCTGTCTTACAAGGAACGGCTTGAGGTTTTCGACAAGTGCGTCGTGCAGAGGCTTGCCGGTAAAACCGTCATCGTTGCTACCGACAAGATCGAAGTGAGTCTCTTGATCGTTGCTCGCTCGTGGTCGAGTCGCGAAAGCCACTACAGGCATGTTAGTCTCGATTCGGATCTAACGAATCGGTAGACTTCCAATACCTTCAGAACAGACCTGCCGATTAATGATTTATCTTCGCACAGCTACTTAGCCAATGTCACGTAATCTACATGATGAGAGACGGTAAAATCGTGGAGAACGGGAAGCACGAGGAGCTCAATCAGTCGAGTTCCGAATACGCTGAGCTAGTGAAACAGCAGATTGGCAGGCATCAGCGATTACTCAGGTATCGAGCACAGCAGAGCGCAGCAGCGATCGCCGTAATGAAAAACTCGCGTGTCTCCTTCAGAAGCGGCGACTTGACGAGCGCATCGCCATCCCGCATGACGCCGTCGTCCCCGAAAGACTTCTCCTCCAGCATCGCCGCACTGTCCCTCGACAGCATCGACACTCGCAGCGTAAGTATTTGTCGTCCTCGCCCCCCGCGGCGATCCTGCCTGCCTCGATGATCACAGCCGCGCGTGCGCTGCCTCGCAGGACGACTCGCGGCCGCTGTACGGGCGCGCGTTCGAGTTCCCGACGCTGCGCGCCCTGAACGAGAGCAGGCCCAAGTCGGGCACGAGGGTCTACCTGAGATACGCGGGCGGCTGGCCGGTCGTCGGGCTGCTCTGCCTCCTCGTGGCGCTCTACGCCTTCTGCGTGGCCGTCGCGCCCGTCTGCATCGTTCACGTCGGACTGGTTGGCACACACACACACACACCCGCGGCCGCGCTTGGGTAGGTAGCGCGCGCGCACGCGCCTCACGCAGCGTTCCTCCTTTCAGAGGGCGGCCGACCTGAGGCTCGCGGTCGGCGTTCTGGCGACGCTCGTCGGCCTGCTCGTGGTCGCCGGCGCGCTGCTCACGGCGGCCTACAACAAGGTACGCCACGCGTCGCGGCGCGCGCGCGCGACCAAAGCACTGACCGAACGAGACCGTGTTTGTCGGCAGACGACCATCGGCGCGGCGAGCAAGCTGCACGAGCACTGGATCGAGAGCCTCGGCCGAGCCCGGATCTCGGTGTTCAGCAGCGCCACGATCTCGCTGCTCCTCAACATCTGCAGCCTGAACCTGCAGGAAGGTACGGCGTAGCCGCTCGCGCTCGGGCTGCTCTCACGCAACGCGAAATTGTGCGCCCGCAGTGGACTCGGTGCTGCCCAGGGCCGCGATAGCCGTGCTCGTCAACGTCGCCGTCAGCCTGTTCAGCCTGGCGATCCTCGGCGCGCTGTGCGCCTGGCTGCTCGTCCCGGCGCTCGGCTTCGTCCTCGCGGCCGCCCTCTTCGGCGCGTACGTCCGCGGCGCCGTGCTCGGCCTGCACGAGCTGAAGGTCAGCTCGGCGACCCTCGTGCTCGACCACATCGGCCACACGGTGCGCGGCCGCGCCACCATCCAGGCCTTCGCCAAGGAGAAGGACTTCGCCAAGCGCTACTACCGGCTGTTCAACGAGAACTCCACCTACGACCTGATGCTGTACGCCAGCCGGCTGTGGACGGAGTTCCGGCTGAAGGCGCTGTCGGCGCTGGTGCTGGGCGCGGCGGTCCTCGGCAGCGAACTCGGCTGCGCCGGCGGCGAGGGCCTGGCGCGGCTCGGCCTGGCCTACGTCTGCGCGCTCCAGCTGACGCTCAGCGCGCTGCACGCCGCGGGCGCGCTCGGCAGCGTCTACACCAGCCTCGTGGCGCTCAGCAGCGTCCACCACTACGTGAAGGTACGCGGCGCCCCTCCCCCCCCCCCCTCCCCGACCCCGCGAGCAGCTCGCCTCGGCGGCTAACCGGCGACCCGCTTGTGCGCAGAGCGTGCCGAAGGAGCGCGAGGGCACGGCGCGGCTGTCGAGCCTCTGGCCGATCGACGGCAGCGTCGAGTTCCGGCGCGTCTGCCTCCTCGACCGGGAGGAGTCCAGCTGGCGGCCGCTCAGCTTCTCCGTGCTGGCGGGCGAGAGCATCGCGGTCGTGACCAGCCGGGCGGACGCGAAGCTCGCGCTGGTGTCGGCCCTGTTCCGCTTCACCGAGCTGCCGGCCGGCGAGATCCTCGTCGGCGGCACGAGCATCGGCCAGGTGCCGCTCGACACGCTGCGCCGCTGCTTGTGCTTCGTGCCCGGCGAGCCGCAGCTCTTCCACGGCAGCATCCGGCACAACCTCGACCCCGCCGAGCGCCACGCCGACCAGAGCCTCATGAAGGTGCTGCAGAAGGTCTACCTCTGGGAGAAGGTGTCCAAGCTGCCCGACAAGCTCATGAGCGACGCCTGCCACCTGTTCACCGCGACGGAGAGGGTCATGCTCTACCTCGCCAGGGCTCTGCTCAGCGAGCACACCAAGGTACGTTGCGGCCGCTCTCGCCGGAGCTGCTCCCTGCAGCGCATCCGCAGCCTCGCTCGTTTCAGATAGTCGTGATGGAGGAGCCGCTGCTCGACGAGCGCGACGAGCACCGCGACGTGCTCGAGCTCGTGCTCGCCACCGCGTTCGACGGCCACACCCTCATCAGGCTCTCGTCGTGCAGGATACGCTCTTGCCCGAGATTCTTAGCCCTCGACGACGAGGTGACTATGCCCCCCGCGACCCGCTCCTCGCCGCCTCGATCACGCTCCTATTGTTCGCTTTGCAGTTGGAAGACTTCAACTCCGACCAGAACAGCTCGACATTGTCGCAGCTCACGCTCACCACCGACCTGTACTCCGCTGCGATGCCTGCGCTCAGCAGTGTCGGCCAGTCGAACAACGCCCACCTGTCGCGATTCAACGGCGCGCCGCCCAACGACATCTACACTCTGGTGCCGATGAACCTGCTGGCCGACAGCTACTCCACTGATTGACCGCGATTCCACGAGTTTCGCGAGGCCTTCGCCTAGAGGATCACCTACGTCTTTTTAAGTGCATTGCCGCGATGACTCGCCATGTTGTCGTGTTGCTGCTGTCGAAGAGTAATGTTATTAAATGATAAGTTGCTTAAACGAGTCACTAGAATAGTTAATGACAACCAATCAGTTGTTTATTAATAAGATTTCTATTGCAAAGAGAGAGAGAGAGAGAGAGAGAGAGAGAGAGAGAGAGAGTCTGCTCTCACGATGAGAACAGAATATTTAAGTACTAATATTAAGATAGCTTGCATAATATTAAGTATATAAGAGCTAAAGCTTCCTGGCCAAATCCGCTTGTCGCGTTATACGAGAACAAGCTCATAACCAGTTGCCAAATACAAAGTACCGAATATTTGAGTGAAGCATTGTATCCTCTAAGTCATGTTCAAAGTATGTATATACATGAAATATTTATATATGAAATACATAAAGTATTGCGGCGCTCAGTCGGAGAAGCTATTTCTGTATAGTTGCCTTGTATAAAAGACGGACAATGTATTATTGTGCTTACAATAAAGAGCTTATTTTCACACGAAACCGATGGTTTGATTCTCGTTAGTCGAGGGGTCCTCTCCCGTTCGCCGGCATACACGTATAATGACGGGAATCGATGAAATACCGATTGCTAGATTGCGTGCTCGTCTTCAGGCTGATTAATAATTAATCGCTTCTCCGACAGATCTTGGAAATGAACTTGTGATTACGGCATTTCAGGTAATAGTGAAATTTTTCTTCGTTTTACGGCTGTGAATTCAGGTATCCGACTTGAACAAAGATAAATCGATGGTTGAGTTTCAGTGTTACGGCGAGGTGAAGGTACCACCGAAGCCGACGGGTTCAATCTCTCCTCCGCCCTTTTTCCATCCCCTCTTCAAGGGCCTAAAGGCCGGGGCGTGGCGTTATACTCCGACAGGCTCACTATATCTTCGGTTTTATTTCTAGATGCCTGTCTGGTGACTACAGACTTGCTGTCTTTAAATCGAGGGATACTCCTTCTCAATAGGGTGCTCTTCCATGGGAGCGGAAAGCGAACAGCCGATTCGAGCGGACAAAAAGAGAAAGTTTTGTCCGCTAGCGAACAGACGCTCTCCGCTGCGTCTTGCGTGGTGCATCCCTCTTCCCCCTCTCCTCTTATTTGTAGCGTCCCTTTCTATTATTCTAAACATGCTATAATTATAATTTTCTCGACAATATTAATTTATATGTCGTATATGTATATGTTATATATATATGTGTGTGTGTGTATATATATTTTATACATATGTGTGTGTATAGATATGTATATATTTGTATATATATGTAATATGACAGACATTTTAAATGATAGCTTCTCTTCCTATTATTTTATTCATGCTGTAATTAGAATTTTTTCGATAATATTTATTTATATGTCGTGTGTGTGTGTGTGTACATATATACATATATATATATACGACATATAAATTAATATTGTCGAGAAAATTATAATTATAACATGTTTAGGATAATAGAAAGGGACGCTACAAATAAGAGGAGAGGGGGAAGAGGGATGCACCACGCAAGACGCAGCGGAGAGCGTCTGCCCGCTAGCGGACAAAACTTTGCCTTTTTGTCCGCTCGAATCGGCTGTCCGCTTTCCGCTCCCATGTAAGAGCACCCTAACACGTGTTGCGTAAGCTGCTGGAGGAGAATTTTTCCCCATCGGCTCAAGTGCATGCCGGCGACTATTAAAATTGTCAAATCACAATCATTTGTTCGCTCGCTGTTTACATTTACCTGTTCGCTTTCGAGGAGGCTAGCGACAGTCGTGGGCCAGGTAAACTACATATGTAAATTCAAACCCCATTTACTAGCTGAGAGTGACCAATTTCCCTCTTCGTGCTCGACCTTTTTTTTAACAATTATGAACAACGCGTCCGAGCCAGCTGCGCGCATCATGTTCTATCGTCTTTCTTTTAATTTTATGCCGTGTTGTCCGAAACATTCAGAATTTTATTGAATTCCAATAACACGTATGAAAAATTCCAAATACCGAGTGGATTCAACAAAGAATTTATAAATGATCTCATTGTTATTGAAAAATGTAAAAGCTAACGAGAGCATTAGGATAACCACTAATTGCGAACAGCCGATGTCTCGATCACATCAAATTGATCGAAATCAGTTCAATTATTTTGTTTTATCCAAATCCTACGTATAAAATTACGTTTCTTTTTCAATGGGTTGAATGTTTCCTCTAGTCGTTATATCGGATAAACTACTTAAATTTTTTAGTGTAATAAATAAATAAAAAGTAAATGAAATTCTGGTACAATTGCATCTTCAATGTCGATTACATTTAACGCGTAAACGCACATTATAGTTTACGCATATAGGAATTTCTAATCAATCAATTTTAAATATCGTTCTTATACACGAATTTGCTACTTCGGTATTTGAATTTGATGCTGTATATCAATACTGGGAATGAATATAATAGAATGTGAGTAGTTTTTAAATTTTATTTAATAGGTCAATATTACATGTAATATTCTAATTATATTATTGTTATTGAGTTTATTAATTATTAAAATACTGCGACAATTACTTTATTATACAAATTTAAAGCTTATTTTTTACTATAGGAACTTTGAATCAACAGCTTTGTTTTTACATTCGAATTATTTAGCTTACATCGTAAAAAAAAATTTTCCGTTCAAATTCTCTTTTGAAAGTGACTGAAATCTGTATACGAGATAATTTTTTTGGACCACAGAATTTCAGATCCATTTGAATTTCACCAAAAAAAGTACTATTGAGAACACAATAATTGACAGATCAGCAAACAGGTTTATCTTTCGACATGGACGTTTTCCACTGGGCAAAGTGTGGAGCTCGGAAGAAAAGCTTAAATTGCATGTTTTCGGTTAAAAGAGGCAAATGCTGTAAAGTTAAATCAGTTGGAAAAAAAAAACGAACCTGGTTACTTTCACAATTTTCAATTTTCTATTTCGAAAGACCTCGTCCGTGACGCGGATATTGACGATATTGACAAGTACGCGTTGTCACGTACCCGTATGCATCACAATTTAGCCTCTAAGCCGTCGCATGCACGCGCAACAGACTGACAGCTCGCCAATAATAATCGAGCTGAGGAAACTAGGTATGTAGCGTGGCGTGGCGTGCGACGACGAAGCAGAGCGCGGCCAGTAGAGAAAGCACGTCGACCGCGAGCGAGCGAGCGGACGAGTTTTGCCACTCAGCCTTCTTCGGGGCGCGAAGGTCGCTGCTCGGTTTCTCTCCGGTCAGTCTCCTCGGCAGGTTGTGATAAACCAGTCGGTCGGACAGCGGCTGCACCGGTCGGAAGTTGTGCGTGAGCTTGTGGCCCTCGGAGCTGCTTATGTTGCGGAACGCCGCCAACTGTTCGACGGGCGGAAATCGGCTCGAAGTCAGCTGACATTGCGGGAAAAAGAGAGATAGAGAGATACGATGGGCTGCATTACCTGAGCGTGAGACAGATAGAGGGGGTCTTTGAAGTCTATCCAGGTGACGACTTCGGAGCAGGGCGGTGTGGTGAGCGAGCCGTTGTACGTGAAGTAATTCTGCATCCTGTCCTTGGCACCGTCGGCCGGATTCAGCAGACGCTCGAGCCGCAAGCTCTCGGGCAACTCGATCTCCGTGCCAACTTTCTCGATCTTTGGCAAGCCCGCCACCAGCAGGTCGAACACCGGGTTGGCGTTGCCGTCCTCGTCGAACTGTCGGCCAACCAGCAACGACCGTCGCTTAGACTTGCTCGCGCTCTCGGATCTCCGTAGTCTGCGTTAATCACAGAGAAAGCGCCGCGAGCTTATCGACGGCGAGCCGTGCTTTCTGGCGCGAACATCGAAGCGCGCGAGCGGCCGCGACGGCACGTGTGCGCACGCGAAACACGTCGCGCGTGTACAGCTGTGCTTCCGGCGTATCGTAAAAAGCCACTTGCGCGAGGAAATCGACATTGACGCGCAATTCGCAGCTGCGGAGTTTGCGCTCCGTTCCTTCGGCAACGTCGAGAGCCAGCGTATTGCAATTGTGAGCTCGCCGTGACGCGATTTACGAGCAGTCGTCGCGTCGCGCATCGTCCGACCGCGCGACAGCCATCAACCTGTTTTTCGATCTCTCGCGCTGCGCAATGCCGATGCCCGAGCGAAACGCGCACCCGCAACTGCCGAGCGGAAGGTCTGCTTGGCGCGCCGTCGCTAATTGCTCCGCCGACGCGAGCGTCAGCTGCGCCTTCGCGCGTACGCGAGCGACGAAACAATTGGCACGCGCGCGCGCGCGAACGGCCGAGTATAATTAGACACAGGTGCGAAACGAGAGGCAGGGAGATGAGCGATGATACTTGTTAGATACATACAGATACGCTGGCGTACGACGAGGGGGGTACCTCGAAAAAGAATGCGATGACGGCCAGGCCGTCGGGATGGCGTAGCGCTTGGCCCATCGAGTGGTAGTCGTCCTTGTAGAACACGGCGTGCAGCTCCATGGCGAACGAGTGGTTGTTGATGAGGTCCTCCGAGCCTTCCCAGTCGTTCTCGCCCCAGTGGAAGTGCAGCTGCTCGAACGCGTAGCTGCCGTTCAGCGGGCCGCCCGACATGAGCGCCTTGCCGGCGTCGGCCGTCGAGTGCAGCATCGCTTCAAGGTGCAAGCTCGTCAGCGTCGTTCGCTCGCGGCTGCTCGTCCCGCGCCGATCGCTTACCCGTGTGGCCGTTGTTCGCCATGTACAGCCGCCGCGCGAGCTCGAGCCCGTCGAAGCGCAGCGTCGGCAGCTCGACGTCGCGCACGTCGTGCTCCTCGATGTTTATCGGCGACTGATGCTTGCCGAAGCAGCTGTCGTAGTCCTCGGCCCAGTGCTCCGGACCTGCGGAGTCGTTCGCTCGTCGCTTCTCGTCGCCGTTTTCGCGCCCCGGCCGACGATTGTTCTTGTCATTGGCAGAGGCCGAACAGCGCGCCTCGTTGTCGCGCTTGCGTCGCGCAAAACTAACGAACGTCGCCCGAGAATCGGCCGCGACTTCGGGCCAGCTTTGAGCTCTGCCAGTGACAAGCGCAATGGGACTTACCGTGCAGACCGTTGTAGCCGAAGTCGATGTGTCCTTTACTGGCTGCGGCCGCTGCCGGGTGAAAACAAACAAACAGCGAAACAACGTCAAGAGGAGATGCGGAATGCTCGGGTGTGCGGCAAAAAGTGGCCAAGTCCAACGGCGGAGTAGCGCGCATTATACGGGCGTGCGACGCGAAAGATTCGGATCTCCTTTCGCGGTCGCTGCGCCCAACGTACGAATGCACTGGTCGCGCGGACGTTGTCGTAACGCCGCTTTCCCATTGTTTGACTTTTCTCGGCGCGCGAGCAAGTTTCGGCGATGCGACCTTGCCAGTGGACTGTCGACGCGTCGGCCGTCGTATACGGTACCGCAAAGTCGTCGGGCTGTCCTTTCTTCTCCTCGTTTTTTCGCTTGACCACGTGAAAGCCATCGAAGCGAAAATGTTCCTTTTATTTTCTTGTTGCGCGCGCGGACATCGGTGATCGATGTACTTTCTCTAACGACCGGCTCTCGCTGAATCTTAACCGGCGACCGCGAGAGTCGCAGTCGCAGCCAGCTAGAAAACATTAATTTTCTACGATGAAAACTCGCGTGAATTGGCGCGATGGACAGCCAGTTGGAAATCAGCAACGTTCCATCTCGTTGCCATCTCGTCCGCGAATCCGTCTGCTGCCGGCCGCGCGCACGCGACGCGAATCGAAAACGAAGACGCCGGACGCGGCTGCAAATCGCGTGGGCGCTAATTTGTGAAAGGACGCGCCTGTAAAAATAGCTCGCGAGCTGTCATTGAGCTGACGACGCGCGTTCGGTCACGCTTTCGACGGGTGACGGGTTAGACATCGGCGACTTTACACACAGGTACAAATTCCGTTGTCGCGCTTGTCGCTAACGGTCACGCGTCACGAAATGCTCTGAAACTTTACGAGGACTCATTGATTGCCAATTGAGGTCGAGCACCTTCTCCTGATTTTTATCCGGCTACGCTACTTTAACTCTTGTCTTTTCCCGCGAGATTGCAGCCGATCGAACTAAGACTTCGATGGCCGAGGACATTGTTTCGCGATCGACGAGACGTAAAACTTTTTACATGAATGTGAGACTTTGCACCGAAGGTGGGTAACTTTTATGTACGTAGCACATGACGAACATTATTCGTTTAACTTACACTCGTCGTTAACTGTAAGAAAGAACCATATAACTCGAGGCGTAAATATCGTTTAATAATTCTATTTTTAGTTACTTGCTATTAGCATCAATTAAAATCAAAGTGAATAACCTATCATTTTTGTGCAATAATCTTATTTCTAATTATATTAGAGGTACGTGAACGATATATTTTTTATATAAATATATTATCTGACAAACTCATTAGTTTTGTACAATAATAACTTTTAATTGGAATCCAATTATATAAAATTTAGTTTGTTTTCATTTCTATCAGGAGTAACGATTTTTTAATATGTTTGAACATTTAAAAAATAAAGATATTTTTCAAAGCTAAAGGCATTTATATAAATTCTTAATCATTAACAACAGATATGCTTGTGTTTATTTGTAATTTCAACGTTTCAATCTTATGTTATATTTTTAAATGCAAATCGTAGGTTCTTTTCTACGCGACTAGAATTAAATTTATTACGTTCACGTTGATCATAAAAATGTAAATTTTAATTTAGTGCTTTCTGTGTACGTACATACAAATGAATTAAAGGCCATCGGCAGTTTCACCCCAAGGCTCAAACCGAAGAATCAAAACCAACTTCCTTATTACTCTTATTTTCGAATCTATCGATACAACTAATGGAAATTTTATAAAATAAAAACGTTAAACTAATATACTTCCGTCACAATAATCGATAAATCGTTTCTGAACAACAGACTCGATGACTTAGTGCAGCCTGCTCGTTAGGCGACTTTTTTGAGAATAATATTTCATACAACTTTTGCGTTTATGCGCGGAAAAGTGAAATTTATTATCGCTCGTTCCCAGCACATATTCATTTTCTATGCCGACCATCAGAATGCGCACGTGAAAAAGAAGTCGAGTAAGTTCGGTGTATCTATAAACTTTTCTCAAAAAGACTAAACACATAACTCATACATCTGTTTGAGCGGTATGCAATCACGGTTCGTTGACTAAGTATTTTGCGAGAATTTCAACACTTGATCACCACTAGATAATAGCGTTAACCGTTTTATTTTTTATTTATTATAAGCATCTCGATCAAAGTTATTGATCGTTGCGTTTTAAAAATCAGCGGAATATGTCGTCCGGTTTTTTCCAAGCTACAAATTAAAAAAAAATGTCTGACAGTTTGAGTTACAGAGCATAATTTATTAACGATGTCCGTTGAGAAAGTTGATCACTAACGTCGCCAATCTTCTTAGCGGCTTCACTACAGGCACTTAAGTTACGACAGGTAAGTATCGCGAAGAATCATTACGAGTATACCTTGGTCTGCTATCAGATTGTCGCGTGCATGAAGGCTTGTCTGTCTAAATCGCTGCAAAATCCTGAGTGGCGAAGTACGTTCACGCAATGAAAACTGCACGAGCAGTCGTGATTTTGTTTGTTTTTTTTTTTTTTCATCGGGTTCTTACGAAATTTGCATGGTCGCAGTATCAACAGTTCTTGAACGCAGAACGGTGTTTAACGGATTACATCATGGTTTATTAATTTATTTTGTTTTCATGACTTGCTGCGTTTAAAATTGAAATTCCGCGTCTGCAATTTGTTCATAATTTGAAACCATTACTGGCCTATCGCTATTCTTAATCTACGCGAAATATTTTCAATTATACTCAACGCGATAATATGCAGTTGCTATTCTCGTCGAGGCAACCCAATAATTCAACACCGGCAAATCGCGGCAACAGAAAAGCGCTTGGCCAAGAAAAACTAGAGAGAAACAAAAAGCTAACGATTTCGCACGAACGTTTGGCAATTGTAATTGTGAGTTGTGCGCACGTGGGACGGCATTTGGCGCGTGAGAAACAGGCCCCGCGGAAAAGAGAGAAACGAAGAAAGTGCGAGCGAGAGAGAGAGAGAGGGAGAAAATTACTCACCGAGGGACAAAAGCGCCTGAAGCACAGCGCAGCTAATCGCGGCACGGCGGCGATTAGAAAGACCGGCAGAAGAATGAACGGCCGGGTGAATCATGATTTCGACAGCTGCAGGCGCTTGCACCACTTCGCTCTCCGCTCACTTCACAAACCCATGCGTACGGGAGCGAAACGCTCGATCTGACTCTGCGCGCCCTACACACGCACACTTCCCGTCAGGGCGGACGCTGTACGGCGAAGGGGGGCCGGGCAGCGCGGGGGCAAGGAAAAGTAGCGCGAGCGAGCTGGTCGAACGTCGGGACGCGACTGGCACGCGGCGTCGGACGAGCCGAGTATTTTAAAGACCACAAGCTATACCGAGCTGCTCGAGGGAAGGATGCCCGCGACGCTGCCGTCACCAGCCGTGGCACGCGGCTCGTGCGATCCTTTCGCGCGCGGACCGCAGCTCCGACAACGAAGCCGCGAGCCGTCGCTGCGCCGACTCTACGCCTCTTACGCCCGATCACGCGCTGCTCGCAGCTGCCAAATTTTCCTTTTCCCGAAGAGCCCGCTTTTATTGCCGCGCCAGTGCCACTCGCTCTCGTGCTTGCGTTCTCCTATACGCTCGCCAATACACAATAAGGCAACACGGCGCTGCGACTGGCGGGACCTTGACAATTTTCGTACTTGCAACGACTGCCTTATTCCGAGCTGTCGGTCTTGAGCTAGCTTCTCAAAATCATTGTTGTGCCCGCCTTGAAAATTATTCAACTTTTATTCAAAGTACGCGCGACTCTTTTTTTTCTTTTTCACTTTTCAGTTCGCGAGTGCGATCTTCCAACTTTGCGTTCAACCTGTGCTTTTATTGACACGATCGTTTATGACATTATTCAGGGATAACTATTTGAATAATTATTTTTTTAATGTTTGTTCGACATGCATTTTTCAAGCCACTATCATAAAACAAATTGTTGCACTGATGTTAAAGTTTAAGGACGTGCGTATATTGTTTGACGTCCCAAGAATTGCAGTCATTACCAATCCCTTTGCGTGCTAAGATATATACACTGGGAAAACTAACACAACTCGCAACATCTAAAACGAGATATTTTATCGCTGCGTTTCTTCCATTGTGTTGTCGCTAACCTTTGGGATTATCGGACCTTTGTTTCTATTGATAAATACCCTTGAGGGCGAGACTCACTCTGCAAGGCACGCACTTTTAATAACGATTATGTTAAAAACTTCGTTTCTTTTCACTTGATTTCATTCTAAAAATTTTAAAGCCTGCAAAACAATTGCAACAATTTGTTTGTTGTAATCAGTTCTCTTCGTTAAACATGAACACATGGCCGAGTATTGTCTTATCGAAGAACGGAAAATTTTGCATTTGCGTTTCTGTCATTAGATGCAAAATCACCTGTTCAAATTAATTTGAATACTCGTTACTATGACAGTAATAGCAACTCACTGAAACTGGAATTCTGTCTAACGGGATCACTTCTAGCGGGCGTTTTTTCCAAATAAAATGTATTATCGATAATTGGATATTGTATCGGCGATGATGTTTCAAGCTAGCTTTCAAGTTTTCAAACTCAACGACCTGCTGATCTCGTTTTGAAGCCAGATGAGTTGACCATTCGAACAACCGAACGCTATTATTTCTCAAACGCTCCCCCACTTTGGACGCACGATTAGCGAGCGTCTACCCCCACGCAGATTTTCATGACTGCACGTATGAAGAATTTTCCGCGCGTTAGCGTGACGGTTTCACTTGTTTTTTCTTCTCTCGCTGTAACGGGATTTCAACTTATACGTAAATGAAAGTTATTCTTCTTGCCGGAAACGATTGTATCGGCACGCGCTGCAGTCTATAAGTGCGACCTCGGCTCCAGAATAGCCATTGATGAACTACAAAATAAATATTTTTTCACGGGAAAATTTGTTGTATTGATATCGGTGTACGCATGTTAGGATCGATGTGTAGATAAATATCCATCTTTGTAATTACGGCTGGTGATTTACTACGCTGTTCATTACATAATTTAACGACACAAGATATCAATCAAATCTTGTTCATGCGGTCCTATTGAAGTTTTTAAATTACTGATTATAAATGCTTTATGTTCTATTGAAATCTTATCATCACCGGAAGAAAAATATAGAGTTACAAGTAACAGTTAGAAAACTTGTCATTTCTTTAAAAATAAATATCATTTTTTATATTCCAAAGCACTTTCTAAGAATATGTATTGTTCGTTATGTATTATTACGAATGAAAAAGTTGCATTGTTTTCGATCTTAAACAACATGTTTTTTACATTCAGTTAAAATTAAAAATATTTGACGGAGCGTCTCCTAGCATGAAAATAAGATAACGGACTCTTTTAAATTAGCAACAATTATATTTGAAAAAAGATTCTCGTGACAAGAGATCTTTATAAAAAATGCCGCATGATTCACAATAATTTTTTTTCATTTTATCACGGAAATGGATGTACCTTATTACGTGACTCCAAAAATAATTCAATTTCCAAATAACAAATGATGCCTCCACTTGTGTATGAAATGATGAAAAAGTTTTTTTTTCCATAAGTCATTTTCGTTCTAAAGTCTGGAAAATTTGGTAAAGTTCACTGAAGCATACCGAAGCTTCGATTTGATTAGAATTGCCAATGCAGAAGCACAACGGAAGATTTTAATAAATTGTGAGATTAATCACAAATTAGTCGTTCATCCTAGAACTTTCACGGAAAGATTGTCTTAAAATGTTTTATTATGTAGTTTAAATTATAATTTTTTAAGGTGTTATTTACATCTGAAAATTTACGCAGCGCATATAAAATTCCGATTATAACAATCCACGAAATTACACATTTCAATCATTTCATACATTTTTTTCCAACTGAATTTGAAGATTTCTATGATCCGCACGAATGTCGCTTACATAATCATCGCAATCTCGGTGCAAAAAAATCTAAGGTAGGTAGTATTGTGTACATCTCGTTCCACCTATTTAACGTTCCTTTTTTTAAGTCAGAAACAGTTTTCGCTGCGGCTACTTTTTCCAGAATTTTGTGCAATATCCTTGGTCAAATTTATGTACAATCAAGGCTGAGTCAGATGATTTGCTACGGCACGAATCACATGAGCAATTTCACGACAATCCACGTGCTTTTTTCTCATTTTCACTCAACTCTACATGTCATACTCTTGATTTTATTAACCGAACAATGTTTAACACAGATAACGCACGGAAACATACGTAACGTAACGTAGCGACTCGGTACGAGGGACCGTAAGGCTGGCGGAAGGCTCAGCGAGTTTTTCTTAGTTGGCCGAAAAACATCAAGACTCATCTGTTGGAAAATTGCAAGGGAAAGGGAAAAAAAACTCTCCCACGGAGTCCGACGGGAAGGGTAGCATGTGCTGGAATCATGTAGCGTGCATCTTGGAAGTAAGGGCGTGGTGGCATTGAAGTTTATTACGGTCGACAGGTACGAAAAGGCCGAACTCGTCGATAAGGTGCTGAACCATTTCAAGGGACCTTAATGGCTTAACGACTGCAGCGTGCTCAACTCAAAATACAAAAACACATGTCGAGCAGACAGTAAATGCGAGACTTTCTAAGATGCGCGCTACAACTATTACGTGCTCTATATTCAAAATACGAAAACATAGATCGAGCAGACGTAGTGAATATGAAACTTCCAAGATACACGCCACATGTATATTATAATTTCAAAATATTAATTAAAATGTTTGCATTATTACCTCTTTTGTTAAGCTTTGTAATGAATATAGCTTGCAAATTGAGCAATGTAGAGCTTTTAAGATATTACCAAATGAAAGCTAACATCAAATCCTTTACTTAACGTATGGTAACTCATTCGAAAATTGTGCACTATCGAAATTTCTATATCTTACCAAGAGTGTTTTTCGACAAATTATATTGGCGATTTCGTTGGCAAATTTGAAAACGGCCTAACTTTTTTCAGCAAAATATTTTTCTGTCTAAAGCATTTGATTCATTCTTCATCAAGTGTATTGTTAAAAGCTCTAAACAGCTTAATTTACACATTTTTCATTGTCAGTAATTTATCCTAGACGTGAATGCCTTTACGAGTATTACGCCGGATGGTTATGGCTTCTTACACATTTTCATATAGGAAAGTTTCGTAAAGTTAAGAAGGAATTGGTAACCTAAAGATGTGGCACCTCCCTTATTGGTGAAGATCAACGTAACGAGAGAAAGCTTGCAACAAGGATCAAGGAGTAATCAAGCATGCGATTCTATCGCTTTTTATAGATAAAATAGTGCCTAGAGAGCTATTTGCGAATTAGATAACTTTGTTTTGGTAATAGAGTGATATCGGTGAAGATAATTCACTGAAGCTGCTGAAAACACTGCTAGAGTGCAGGGTCTGGGAGAAAAAAGCACGATTGTGTTTTTAATCTCAATCTACGCAGTGTTTTGTCGAGATTAAAAATTGGTATTGATTGTTTCTTGATAAACAGGTGTGCATACTGTGACGATGGCTTTTTCACGAAAACAAAGGTAACTTAGTCAAAGAAATTAGCGAGGGCTGTGGATCATGTATAGGATTTAGATCAAACATTTAATGCCTTTGTTTACTGTTATAACTTATATTGCTAATGTAGCTGAGTATTCACAAAACTTTTTCATCTAGTATCAATATTATAAAAAGGTAATTGATAAATGTGAGAATAAATAACAGATAGCAGCGATAACATTTTTAATGCGGTAATCATGTTCCAATTTTATGTATAGTAAAACAAGTTATATCTCATCATATTCGATTCTCCAAAAAATTTACACTTTTCAATTGATCGAGTGGTTGTCCTTAGTACAACCACTCGATTGAGACAGTGTCTTTATTCTGAAGTATTTTCGAATAAGCAAAAAGTATAAACTAGGTATAGCTACGAAATGTCGCCAAGGTGTGACTACAACGGTATCCTGTACTTTGTAAAGTATGGAAAAAGTCGGCCAGACACCTTTAAAAAAATGTATTCATAATCAAGAAAAGTGTAAAGATAGAAGATTCAGGATAATTTTCTTTTCAAGATTAAGAAATTCAAACATGTTTGTATAATGTCATCGCCAAGGACGTATATCTATTATCTATGCATGAATCAACAGTCCAATGCGAAAATAGCCCCACTCACTGATATCTTTATTAGAAAGAATATCGGATTTTTTTTTAATCTGACGAGATGCCGACATCATCTATAGAAAACGAATTTCAAGCACATCTACTAAGTTCGTAATGTAAAGGTTCTGGCTTGAAATAAATTTCTTGAAGAAATGTGCCATCTGGCTTGGACTATGTATATGGATTGCTACAATAACTTGTACTACAGCTACTCTTTGAATGATTATCTATTTGCAAGAAAACAATCACTTTATGTCGGTCATAAATATAATTTCTGAATTAATGTAACATATCTTGTCTTACTCATACAACTGTCCCTTATTAAGATTAAAGTCTTGTTGATGACTTCATTGATTATGAAGAGATTTATTTATGTAGGGATATCCTATCAGCATCTACGTGTTTGCTGATATCTAACGACAGGTATACTTTCAAATTCATTGGATTTAAATCAAATTCCGTAGTAAAGATATCAACGAAGATGTTTTTACAGCTCTCGTGTACCTAAGTTGGCAATAGATCGTTTGCCGTAGTGCTGCTTTTTTAAATATAACACTGGCGATACGGAAAGTTTTAATCGCTGGTTTAGTGCCTCTAACTATTTGATATCTTATTATCTTTTAGTCTTCTATTTGATGACACGATTAATCAACTCGCAATTGTTAACTGCTAATGTTGTTTGAGAGATATTTCAATATTAATGCTAATTGGCAGGAACTCGATTCGATCAATGACAATCTCACTTACTTATTGTTGAATATTGACTTCAGAAGAAGAGCGATTTCGCATAAATGTTAGCCACAACTTGGATAAGCGATCTTTTGGAATTCTATTGATTTTGATGACACTGATAACAGACATTGTATCGAAAGCACATCGAGTTGTATTACTGCTATTTAACTAATGGTTCGAAAGGTAACAAAATTGAAAAATCAATATGAATATTTTTTTGAACTCATAAGTTAACGCTATGATAACTTAATTATCTTTCTTTTGATTTTACCGACAATTTGTTAACTGATCGTTCGATATGATCGTAAAATGGATTTTTTTTCATACTTGATTGTATTAAACTTGTAAGATATTCAATTTCGACGATTCTTTTTTGCAATATGAGTTGTAAGCAAATGATTTAATCAAACGTATCACCGTTTATTATTATTATTATTGTTATATACCGAATTTATTATTATTGTACCGACTGTCGTTATTAGTATATTTTTCAGTTACGTAAAAATATTAAAGTATCATTGAAGTTTTTTAGCATTTTTTTCAACAGCAGTAATTAAATATTGAAAAATACAAATACGTAAGAAGAATAAACGTGACGTAACAAGGAGTTAAGTTACAAAAATTAATCGATTAATTTCAGTATTCAATGTTGGTATAATTTCGATTAACTATATATAAGAGTATATTTGGGCATCATAAACTTGTCTACAATTTAGAGAAATTCTTTACGTAAAAATATGAAAAAAAAGCCGCGAATTTGCAACTTAATACTCAACATCCCCGCATCAATAGTTTAAAAAAATATTTTAGCAACACTTGGAACGCTTTGGTGAATTAAATTCTGATCTGATGTCTAAAATTTTATGATAAAAATAGTGTGATTGGCTAATTTAAAAAAAAGTCATGAATAATTTCAATTAATATAATCTATTATTATATAACATATTAATCATAATGTAGAAACATATCAGTTAATTCGAAACATAGTTTTATAGGTTTCACGACACGTTACAAATTACACATCAGTCGGTTAAAATAAATATATAAGGTTTAAATATAAACTCCTACTCAAAAATCAGCCCGAAGATTATAAATAATCTGTACAAAACGTAATTTTACTCAATACAATGTATTCCGAAAATACGATTTTCTCGCACACTTGGCGGAAAACGTATGCTTAAATTCGTGCTTTCCACGAGTTATTAATTTACTTTTTTATCATGTATGAGAGAACTAAAAGTAAAAATGATTTAAAAAAATTAAATAATCGACATATTCAACAAGACAAAAAATCTTGCTGGAAAGAGTTGAAGTATTTTAAAGTTATAAGTTATGAAAGTTAATTTTTTTTTTTATTTATTAGAATGAAAGTTAATTTGATAACAGTAAATTAATAACGTACCCATGCCAGGAAAATAGTGGTATAAGTCCGTAGTACGCAAAACTAACAGTAATATATTATATTAATTTCTAGCTGATAGTTGGAGGAAATGTCGAATAAATTAGTAAATCGATTGTTTATTACGTATAAATGAATTACCTTCAGTCGTAATTTAGAAAGTTTTTTCGAAATTTGCCGTTTGAACTTATATTATTTGACCCATACAATAAATAATTATATAAAAATAAATAAATAAAAATATTTAATATTTTCAATTTGATATAAAAAGATAATTGTTATTTAGAAGCTTTGCGCATATCATAATAAATTAGTTCAAAGATCGTAAAACTTCATTCTTGCATTACCCTCTATAAACGTGCTGATGACAATGTAATTTTAGTTTATGATTGTTGAAATTTTTCCTTTTGTAATTTGCACGCTACGGAAAATATATTTATACATTTATATAGGGTAGCAATATTATACTCTTAACTTGGGTTTATTAAACGGATAAATGGACGGCAAGGCGAAGACTATGTGCAAATATTTTCCGTTAGAAGCTTCGATGTTATACGAAACATTGTTATTTGTTTGTCTTCCTTCTCTAGCTTACTCATCTCAACTTTCTCTCCTTGGTGGCTATTTGCTTTGTGGTCATGATGACTATAAGGAAAATTTCAGTTGCCTTTGGAATATTTTCAAAAATAAATAACAAAAGAATTCATTTTACAATGTAAATATAATAATTTAAATGTCTTTTCAACTGTCATTGGATTTAAATTTATTTCCTACAATGAATATATATGTATGTTATGTATAGTATGTACAATGAATATGATTTAATTACATTTGCCGGTAAATCAGATTCCTTTTGCTAGGCGTAGTACAGTATCAATATGTCGAGAATGACGGGCTAATTGTTCGCATCCACCGCTTCCTCGGTGTTCTTCTTACAGTCGGAGCTGTAAAATGAACAGGTTCGAGTATACGGAACATCAATTGTCACCCAATGAACTTCACGTCAGACGCGACCGAGGCATCAGACTCTATGATGGGGACACCAAGGTTTGTTAATTTCAAAAAATAAACAAGCTAAACATAACCTATATCAATACTTTCAATTGATTTATGTATTAAAATTAATATATTTTATTCAAAAAATGCTATTGAGGCCATAATTAAGTGTTAGCTAAAATTATAAATATGAAGGCTTAGTCTCAAAGTTAAAGGCTCAAAACGCCAACAATTATTTTAACATTTTAATCATAATATTGCATCGTTTTAATGTGCTATGTAAACAAATTAATATATTGATTCTGCTAATTTTGACTACATTTTCAAATTCTCACTATGAAATGTGATAAAATTATTATTCAAAGTTAACTTATTTTCAATAGAGTCCTTTTGAGGGTGGAGAGGTAACGCTGACTAGCCATAGAATAATTTACAAAACGCAAGATAATCTCACATTTGCCTTAAGACTAAGTTTAATTATATTTTTTGAAGAGGAAAATCCAGGAGCTTTGTTTTTTACTCGTAGCAAGAAAGTAGTTTTACATTTGACTGAGCCACCCAGTGGTAAGTTGTAAAAGACATTTTGCTAATAAAAATATTAAATTTGTCTAATTAATATTATAATTTTTGTAGTAAAATAATAAAATTATGTTTTTTTTCATAGATAAACTTACTGGACCAATTGATCATAGCTATCATAATCATGTAAAGCTGTCATTTAAAGAAGGATTAGATCCTAATTTTGTTATACACCTATCTGATACAGTTACTAAAAGACTTTGGGAGATAATACCTTTAAACATTTCAATAGTCACAAATTCTATAAGTGTGGTTAGTAAAATGTCATTATTATACTAACAGGCAAACTTGAATACCTTATGATATAAAATTTTGTAATTATAGCAGGGGAGCTCTAATACAAAAGTACTACCTCAAATAAAACCTAGAACTGGTATTATAGGAATCGAAAGAAGTATACAGGAGCAACAAAAAGCCACAGATGAAAGTATAACTATTGCATTTCAAGATTTGAAAAAGCTCATGGTCATGGCTAAGGATATGGTTACAATATCTAAGACAATATCTGCAAAAATAAGGGTGATTGTTTGAACGATAAAGCTCATTGAAACTCTGTTAGCTGTTGTAATGTGAGAATATTACAGGAACGACAAGGAGATATCACAGAGGATGAGACTGTTCGATTCAAGTCATATTTGATGAGCTTGGGTATCGACGATCCTGTAACCAGGGATGCCTACAAAACTGAAAATGAATATTTTAAACAGCTCGCTCGACAGATAGCTGAAGTATTAGAAGAGCCTATCAAGGTAAATATTACAGAATGTATTATTTAATAAAATTTCTTTGTGAGACAGCAATAATATTTCTAATTTCCACTTAGGAAGTTGGTGGAATGATGGCATTGACTGATGCTTATTGTCGAGTGAACAGAGCTAGAGGTTTAGAATTAGTTTCTCCTGAAGATTTGCTGAATGCTTGCAGACAACTGGCACCATTGAATCTACCTCTAATTCTAAGGACTTTTGACAGTGGAGTTATGGTTTTACAAGCAAGAGTTCATAGTGATTATGAAGTTGCTGAAGCCGTGTCACAATTGGTATATACAATTTATTTGAAAAGAAAAGAATCAGTCTGAGAAGTAAGCTAATTGTTCTAATTCTTGTTATAGATAAAGGACAGAGGGTCAATTACAGCTACGGAATTAGCACAATCAGCGGGAATTTCTGTGATTTTGGCCTGTGAAAGGCTTCTCATGACAGAGAAATATGGAAAGGCCTGTAGAGATGATTCAATAGAAGCATTGAGGTTTTACCCTAACTTGTTCCTGGAACAGGAGTCGTGATAATTGTAAAGTTAATGTAAAATATTCAAACTGCTTTAAATTCCTATAGAATATGATGCGATTCACTCAATACTAATATAAGCAAAGTAAGTGTAAATCGTACAATGAATTTTGAATATTTTTTAAATGAACTTTTTAGAAAGGATAAAATTGTTACTTAATGTTGTAGGTTGACAAATGTATTATATGAGCAAATGAGTGTTATAAGTTTTAAATTAAAATGAAAAATATTTAAGTATAATAAACGCTTAATTCAAACTAATATTCATGGTTATATTTTTTCAGTAGAACAATGACAAAAAATATTTTTAACATTTGAAATTAGTTTTTTTTACTGTCATAGTGTATAACACGTTAAATAATAACTTATGGTGTTTTCCTATTTTCTTGTGTAATTAAAACTTTCATGATATTTCAGATAAATTTTTCTTAGCATATTAGGAACAGAATAAAAATTTTGTATGGTTAATAAATACCAACACTTGTATTAGTTAGATTTAGGTTTATTCTAGTATTCACTCTTATGCGTGACACACTCGACTGAACGGGAAGCGCAATGTATCCAACAATATCCTTACAAATTTTGATTTAATATAACAGTTTAATATATAGTATTATTTTTGTTTATATAAAAAATGGTAAGTTAAAATTGTAATGAATATTTAATGTCCATAATATATCTTAAAAGTATCATTGATATAAATATATAAAATTTCCAATTGAAGTATATAGTGTATAGTGCAATGTAAAATCTGGAAGTTGTAAGTTGCATTCATAAAAAATACATACAACATAATCTGTAAAATTCAATAAAAGAATTGTGATAAATGAAAAGAAGGTATTGTTATTTTATCGGTTGTGATCCAGCAAATAGGGTCTAAATTCTACTCCTTCAGACTCTATTCATGTTTAAAAAATAGTAAACAGTAACTTAGCAGTCCTATATTTTATATTTTATTATTAAAAGAGGAGAAAGTTTGTTATAATTTTACATTTTAATATACCATTAAACTACTAGCTTCTGCTACATGCGTACGATGTGCACTATGTGTTTTTACGTTATTTCAAATAGGAATTCTTATTTCTACCTACAATTAGTGTAGTACTAAGTTTGTTTTATATGGGCAATTATCACAAACTTCGGAATTTATTATAGAAAAAAATTTTTTTTATATTTTGATCACACATTCAAAAATTTTAGTATATATGTTCCTTCAGCTGTTAGAATATAAAACCCAACGTGGTGCAACGTTTTAAAGCTACGTTTAAAACAAATTGTTTCAGGAATTTTTTCATTAATAATTAAATTCAAATTTATTTTTTAATCGTGTCAACAGATTTCATATTTATAATAGTATACCTGAGAATGTTTTCAAGTCATTTCGATGAATTGCTATGAAACAATACGATTATAATAATGACCTGCGAAGGCTGTAAAATGAACCATTACAGGGAACTCAACCGAAAAAGTAGGCGGAGAAACTGCGAATTCATTAACACCTAAATGGACACCGACAGGTATTCAACCTAAAAGGTTTGGATGTCTCCTATAAATAATGATTTCTCATTTTCTCCTCGCTCTTAAGGTAGCGGGGAAATTGCCCTACGACACCTATTCTTGTGCTCTTTTCCTCGTGCTAATAAATTATATTTCTTGTTTTCAAATTCGTCCATTTTGTTATTATTCGTTGACTTAATCAGCTTGGATATTTCCCGGCACGCTATCATTTTACAATTAAACAATATACAATAATTCCGAATTTAATCAAACGTATGTAGATTTTTATCGGATTATTAAAATATTATTTAAAAGCAAAAATACAATGAATAAACTACAGTAGGGAATGATAGTCGGGGACCGCCTATCTTAAATAACGCTATCCGTTGTCATGATTTTCGACATAGCCGTATGTCATTCTAGCACTAATAATTTTGCCACATCTCAGGTTCTAATTGTTATTTTCATATCGGCCAAGAAGCAATGGATTCGCCTTATAAATTTCAAATCCTTTGGTAACTTAATCGCAGTTACATCTTAATTAGGAAAAAGATAACAGGGGTTTCAATAATTAATTTCTCCGCAACGTTGCGTTTTTTGTTGTTGTTTATTTGTTAAATTGCAATATCTTTGCTTCTAACGATATATTTGCAATTAGAAGTAACGACAGATTTCTCGTAGAATAAAAAACGAGAATTTTTTCTCGTAGAATAAAGTTTGATTGATTAACTGTTTCTATAACTTTTTTAGAAGACAAAAAATAACGATTTAAACAAATATAAGAAGAACTACATTACGAAGGTTTGTTAATTAAAGTATATCTCGGTTTCTAATTAATATTTTTCCAATTTACAAAATGTTACTTTTACGTTATAAAATTTGCAATTATGTTTCATGTCCGTATAGAACCGGTAACTTAATTACAAAAAGAGTTATAGCAGTTTAAACAATTTAATGTCTCCTCGACCAAATAAAAACTCTCGAAAGTTTAGCTTCACTGGTTTTTTTATTTACTATTTCACATAATTTACTAACTTATTCTTCGAAAATAAGTTGAAAATCGTAATAAAATTAAAAAAACGTTAATAACGTGTAGTGCGTTGCTTTAAAATGTTGCACTATGTTCGATTTTATATTCTAACAGCTAAAGGAATGTAGACTTAAAATTTCAGACATGTACTCAAAATATAACAAAATTTGTTTTGTTTTATAATAAAATTCGAAGTTTGTGAGAATTACCCATATAAGCAATAATTACAAGAATCTGAATTATTAAAGCTTTTCATTCGATACTTGCACATGCTCGCAGCTGCATGTACATTGTACAAGCTGCTTCACCTTCAAGTAAAAGTTTACGTGATTGATCTAAATATATTAAATATAATCTCATAATTTTTGTAACGATTCAGTCTACGATACATTCATATCGATATATCGATTTCTTTTAATATATATCACAAGTGTAAAATATTTATTATTACATATTAATTTAGGTTTTTCTGTGCATATTAGTCGAATGAAGTTGCAAACAATTAATTACAGGCATGAATTATGTTAGATTGAATTCGGAATTATTGTATATTGTTTAATGGTAAAATGGTAGCATGCGGGAAAATATCCAAGTTGATTGAGTTAATGAATGAAAACGAAATACACGAATTTGAAAACAAGAAATATAATTTATTAGCACGAGGAAAAGAGCACAATTAAAGGTGTCGTAGGGCAATTTCCCCATCACCTTAAGAGCGAGGAGAAAAGAGAAAGCATTATTTACAGGAGGGCATCTAAACCATTTCGGTTGAATACCTATTATCTTTTATCGGTGTTCATTTTAAGTATCAATAAACCCTTGCTTTCTCCGCATAGATTTCCCTTAAATTGTTCATTTCACAGTTTTCGCAAATTATATTTATAACTGTATTATTTCATAGCAATTCATTTGAATGACTTGAAAACATTCTCAGATATACTTTCATAAATGCAGAAACTGTTTGTACAATCAAAAAATAATTTTGAAATTAATTATAACTAAATAAAATTTCCGAAACTTTTTTTTTTTAAATAAACGTGTTTTCATAAAGAATGTGAAAATCAAATTAATTAGTCCATACTAAGAGTCAAGGTAAAGATATAGAATGGTAAGTATTACTGAGGCCTCGGCTGTTTTACAGTTAACAAAATATGCCTGATGAAAAAAAAATGTAGAAATCTTCTAATTATGCAATTGAAAAGTGATCATTAAAAATTTATTTGTCGGGCACAAAGCTTACGCGTGTTTTCAGGGGTCGATTTTCGTCGATTCCCCGCTGAATCTTCATTCGTCTCATTCCGTAAGCGTGTCAGCATTACAAAAGTGACTGTCAATGTTACCCATTAAACCAAATGATTTCACTGACGGTCAATATTCGCTGTGTCCAATGTGGTTTATTCAAATGTATGAATCGTAACATCGGTCCGTTAATCTTTAGAGGGCCGAAGAATTAATATATTGACGCTACCTTCCATTGACACTTTCCCTATGATCAATCAACGATATAAGATATCTGTTATTTCCGTTTTTTGAGGGCGGTATACCGCTTGAAAACCGGCCTTCTAAAGATTAAATGTCAGCGAGAAGCACTGCAAGTAATCTTATTGGCTGTAGGCCAGAGCCAATCCGAACAGACCTACTTTTCCGATCGTTACCGAAGATTAATCGTTATTTAGACATTTACAACGAAATTATAAGAATTCTCTTTACCAAACGTTTGTAAAAATTATTTAACCCTCATTACGTATAATTTATCGGTAAAATAATAATCATGTTAGCTAAATTCAAAGAAAGTCTATCGAAAATACAATATCACGTGCAAAAATATGGCCCGCCCATTGGCTGTACTGTGGCTTAGGCCAAGTGAGTAAATGCTTATCGTGCGGGGATCTGACCGAACTGCCCATCGTTGTTATAAGTATCGCTGTCAGTAGGATCTCTGGTCAGTAGTTGCAGAGACACGAACGGTATAGGTGTAAGGTGTGTGTGCGCGGAAGAGGCGTCGGCGTTTTGCGTAGACAAAGGAAAAGACACAATAGAGAAATAAAGTGTGCAGTTTAAGACTGGAATAGAGAGAGGGAGCGAGAGTGTGCGAAAGAGAAAAAGAACTGAGCCGACGTTCTCTACAACGAAAGGAAGTTCAGTGGCTTGTTTTATTATTGTTGATTTATCTCGAAGAGCGAGGAGCCATCTTGGCAGGAGATACGGTGGCCGGCGAAGGTCACCGGATGAAGCAAAAGCAGCAGTTGAACACGAGGAGGAACAGAGTTTGGCAAGATATTTGCTTTAAGCGCAGATAGCGTTGGCATTATTTTTCAACCGTTTCACGGAGGCTTATTCGCAAGTAAGCTATAGACATTATTGCGCAGTAATATACTATCATTTTGCGCATGTGTACGTGCGACGTCAGTAGAAGTGGGGATATCATGCAGGAGTGTGTTTTTGTTTACGAGATAGAGAGAGGAGTTATAGCGTATTTTCAGTGAAATACTATTTTTTCCTTCCATTTGTCTATTGAGTTTGCATTTTCCATAAATGAAAGTTGATTAGAAACATATGTGTCAAATATTGATCGTTATTTCGAAGTTTTAAACCTGTTTAAGTAGTTATCACGCTAAGCATTATCCTCATTGGTGATGGGTAAACTTGACAGGTGACAACGAAATTAAGGAAAAAGAAATGTTAGGTATTTCGGAAAAACTGCTACTTATCTACAATTCCTAAAATGGGATCTTTAGTAGAAGAAATTTCATGATCAGTAAAATAATCACCCTCTTCATTGCTCAGTGTGCTATAGCTAGCTGTTAATAACTTTAGTCGGGTATAAGTCGTCTCCACAGCAAGAGAGCCGACGTTCACTTTTTCATGCTAAGCATACGCGACCAATATTGATGTCGATATAACTGTAGTCGATTGGAAAGTTTTAGAGTACAAGAGAAAGAGAGAGAGAGAGAGAGAGAGCGCGGGCGCTGCTGCAGCGGAGGGGTTATAAGATTGTCTTACTTTCAGGACTTTTCGTATCTTTTTTCGATCTCTGCGACATTTGTTGTGTAATTATTCATTGCGCAGAGTAGGTTTCTTCGTTCAAGGGATAACGAGAAGAGTGCAGTGAACATGTAACCTACTAAGGTGTTTATTCATTTTTTTATCAATTTCATACGATTGAATGATGAAGTTATTTCTTCTTAAACTTTGACGTAAAGATATTTGACGTCATTGTGCCGTCTATTATGATATATTCCGAAACAATTGCGCTGTTGTTTTTCATAGCGTGAATGCGCTAAATTTTCTCTTTGCCCCCTGGATCGATCACATACACACAAACATACAAAGAGAGAAGCCACATCCGCTCTAGTATGCCCCCCTTCTTCTCCCCTCCAAACGTTCGTTCTCACAGTCTCGCTCGAGCACATATGAGCCACAAAAGTGTATTCGTGTATTGAGTAGCGTCAGTTTCTAAAGGCCTCGCTTTCGGGTTATTCTTTGTGTATTGCAGACAGCTCACCAGGTCAAGTGAGCGATGACGAACTCAACGCCCAAGAAGAACAAGATCGAACGTCAGGGCTCGCCCAACGGCAAAAAGTGGACTCCACATCAGCGTAAATCCGTTACTCACTTCGCTTCGTCAGCAGTGGCGAGCAAAGACGTGACGACGACGTCGCTGTCTGTGGCTCATGTCGCCGTACAGCAGCCATCGACCCCGATCACCAAGAAGCAAAGCCCAGCCGCTAACAGGCAAAGCTGCAGCCCAAGCAACAAAAGCACGCAGCCGATGCCACGATCCTCACCCCTGCGCCACGATAGTTCCAGGTAGGGGTCTAGTATAAAGCTTCTTTTGTGCGTGTCCCGACGCGTTCTCTCGGTTATACTACGCTTTCTCGCAGTTGTGTAATGCTACGAATGTCATTGATTTTTTCATACGAACCGTATGAGCTCTTGCTTGTTAAATTGACAATCACGTAATAATACAGGGTAATGAGATAATCGCCTCAAGTTTATATTTATGATTTATTATAGTATGGGAAAAATGACACGGATGATTATAGTTTACCACGTTTTTCGTTATCTGAGCAGCATCAACTAGAACATTTTTTATGAAAAAACCACTTGCATTTTTGTCGTAAAAGTGACGTTACATCTCAACGGCTGACGTTCAATATTTTTCTTTTTAATCAAACATTATCGATGTTCACAAGTGTTTTGCCTAGTGTTTTATACCTCGGCGTTGCGGCGTATGTTGACATTTTACGCGCACACACGAAGCAATCAAAGAGCGTTGTGTTTTCTCGGCGATAAAGTGACTAACGCTACAATATAAGCTGTTAAAGAGCAACATTTCAAAATATTTGCTGCTGAAAATAACTCATCAAATTCTTATGACTTCGTCTGTTGTTGTTTTAGGGGCAGCCCAACGAGTAATTTCTACGCGGGGGCCAAGTTCTCGGAACCGCCGTCGCCGGCGACATTGCCGAAGCCGCCGCGTCATTGGACTGGCATAATGCGGACAAATACGTGCGGCCAGCAGTCCGACCGAATGATGATGCTGCCATGTAACATCACCCAGCACTTCAGCAAAATTATCAATGCTCAGGCCTGATCCATAACTACCACCACCATCTATAATAGCAAGCTCAGCTTTGCTGCTGCCCTATTAACTACTACGGGCCATCGATAGAACACACATGCACACACACACACAGACAACACAACCTACATACACAGAAGACACAAGGAGAAGCTGCGTAAAGTGCGTGTCTCTTCGGGGATCTTTGTTTTCTCCGCGATGCATAACGGCCAACATTCTTCGGCAACAAGACCAGTGCGACAACAAAGATGTGTGATGATTGCCTTGTAGGAGAGACGAGGGACATGACGAGAAGAAGAGGAAGGAAAACAAAAAAGAGAAGTTCGCACCCTACTATATTCGTAAAGTTTATATACGAATATTATACAAGTGTGTGTTGCCCAAAATGAACTCTCTTAATGCTGTGGCGGAACTTTTTAAAAGCTCGCCACATATATATTATAAACAATATACGCTTTTCTTTCTCGTTTCCCCTTCCTCGCGCAATACTACTGTAACTAGTACTACTGCTATACTATCGTTTCATCTCTCTCTCTTTGGTTTTTTTTTATTATTCGTTTAAGGTTCAACAAGAGTATTTTTATGTTTATCCTTTTTTTTGCACGCGATATTGCAAAGCGATCGATGTTTATTGTATCCCGAAAAGGAAAAGCGCGCGAGTATTCAATGTATTCGTTAGTAATTTTACTGTTTTTACAAATAAAAATGGCGCAAATTCAATCTTCTATGACGAAACAAGTGAATTTCTCACGCGTGGGAGAATCACGATGACAATACATTAAAACAAAAGAAAATGATGATACATAAAAAAAAAATTTTGATTTATTTTACACACATATAAGTGGTGTACTTTATAAACAAAAAAATTAAATAAAATAAAATGTCTTAATCTGTTTTGTAGAGACGTGAAAGTAAGATTGAGTTTGCACACGAAAGAAGGATTGCTTCTAGCAAGAACAACCTTTAGAATTGCAAAGTAAAATTTCTTCGTATTAATACATATGTAAGTCGAGAGAGAAAGTGTAACCACTCTTCCGACTCGAAAAACGTTTAAGTTAATTTAACTTGTGCCTTAATTTGAATATAACAAATTCGTTTCTTTTTTTTGGTTATTGAAAGAAAAGATAAAATTAAATGCAAATTACGTATTTTTTGTTGGTGCATTCACATCGAAAACAAATTCGAAAGAAATATAAATATAACTAGTTTACATTGTTTCATTACCGTATAGTTCTCGAGTCGGACGACTAAACAAATGTGTGCGTGTGAGCGAGTGTGTGTGAGTTGCAAATGGTATTATATGATAATAAACAAGTAGTACGTCTTTCAATGAATCGCGCGAGGATGAAAAATCGTATATATACATATATGTATCGAGTAGCATTTACTTTTAATCTTGAGGTAGAATTTCTTTTTATCAACCAGCATATGTACTATTCGCTTGATTCCGGGACGAAAAAGGCTCGTTATCGTTTTTTATTTTCAAGTTCCTCTGCTTCATTCTTATATACGTTTTTTTTTCGTTTTTGTTTTTTTTTTTTTTTTTTATATTGCAGATTTTTGTGTTCCTTTTACCGACGAGACGACAGACGCGTAGAGTCATACACAATCTTTTAAAAAACAGCTCTCGATAACGAGCAAACAATATTCAATATGATATTCGAGACCGATAAAATAGTCACGTGTAAAAGCCTAGAAAATGGGTTTAATACGAAAGCAAAGGGAGTTTATCAATGAAATTAGCTGTGATTATTGACTTAAAGGTACTACTAATTTTTTAATCTAGTATCTCACCAATGCCCAGGCGAGCAAATCAAGATAAAAATTGTAATGATCTTACTAAACGAGATAATTACATATTCGACCATATGTATATAGATAAACGACACTCGGAAATTAATAAAGACACACGCATTGTATTGTATATGTACTACTACGGTAAACCAGAAAAAAGTATGTTACATTGTAAACGTTTAAATTGTAAGAAAAAAAACACCTCCGAGGAGCGAGTAATTTTTAAGAGTTAAGTCAATACGTCACGTCAAAACGATACTCACGCATCCCTACACACACGTATACACATACACACTCACACATTATACAATTATAATCACAAATTCACACTTAGTTGGTAAGAAAAGAATTTAAGAAAATAAGGCGAGGGCGACTGGCCTGGGCCGCTTCGATTCTTCGGACTTTTGAAACAGCTCCCAGTCGATCTGCATTTTATGTGATACTACAACGTACAAAGTGAAAAGATAGCCGTTCGTCGCATCGAAAGACATATAATCAATACTCCAAGATCTCTTGTTTACGTTTGTTTTCAAATTGCTGTCTCATATTTCCATTCGGCGTTGCGACTAAGTAAAATTCGTTCATTGTTAATTTTAAGAAGATACAAAAAAGAAGATTATACATGTGAAAAAAAGAGAAAAAAATTACAAAAAAAAAATTGTTTTTATTTTTTAAACGCGGGAAAGCTAAGATCCATCGTATTACTGAACCCAATAAGAAAAAGATTGCGTCTTCGCGCAGCTTCGCAAGAAACACACACACCATACATACAACATATACACAAAGCGTCGAATGAATAAAAAAATTCTACGTAAGAACAAAGAAATGAAAATGAATATGTACGCGCGTAATTAGCTCGTAAGACTGTAGCCGTTAAGATGATGACACAAGCGAATTCCAAACAAGGAGGAAGAAAGCGTGTCGCTAAACGCGCGTCAGGGCGACCATATTACAGAAATAAACCGGACTATAGAATACACGTGTACATAGAAAGCGCGATTGTTTTTTGTAAATTTCCGCGAATCGTCTCTGCGAAATGATGAAAAGAGACAATTAGTCGCCCCGGCGGGCAATACAAATTAAAACTGTAATGACAGTATCGATGGAAGTTCTTCAACGTCTTTCTCCCTCCTTTGAACTTAGTCTTTAAAGAGGAAAGGAAAGAGTCGCGCAGACCTAATAATCAAAAGCCAGCAGAAAGTGTCTACGCACAGATCCAAGTCGTTCGGCAACGCGGAAGATTTTTGCAGTTTTTGTCATGAAAGGAACAAAAAAGATTGTACGATTGCTTGAGAATTGTAGTTGCGGATGACCGAGCGACCGAATAAAATAAAAAAAAAACACATTTGTAAGGATTTATCGTCCGCCCACTGGCGGAATGCACTGATTACATTATAGAGAGTGGAGATATGTGCGATTGTTGTCTGTATGAGAGAGCGAGAAAAAAGTGCGTCGTCAAAATTGCTCGAGTCCTCACGTCCGCGGATAACACTTCTCGCGCGTGTAAGCAGACGATTTCTTTGTTAAAGAGTTTTTCTATGCCGCGAGGTTGTTTAACCACCGACGCGGGGACTACATATATATGATATATTATATACATATACATAAATTATATATTATGTAAATGAGAAACGAGTAAAAAACCGTCTCCACCGATCGAAGCATTTTTACGTTTGTTTTTACATTTTAATGTGAGCGAGAAAGTTAGCGAGCGATGAATGTATGTATTTCATGTATGCGTGCGTGTTTGGCGGCCAATAAACTGTGATTTGATCGTTGGCCAGCCGTTGCCCAAAGCCGGGAGGATGCGCTTTAACAAATTGTAAGAAGATATAAACACATATATGGATTATATGTATATAGCGAGGAATTTGTTATTGTAAAGAGATAGGCACGTGGTTCAAAGTATGGTATTGGAACGAGCACTATTTGACAATTGGCATATCAAGGAACGAGAAGATAAAAGAAAAGAAATGTCGCCGAAAGGATTAGGATCGATGAGAAGAAAGTCAAGCCTCATGCGGCCGAAGAATTTTGCTCGGATGAAGCTTAACAAGTGCGAGGATGCGGATATTGGCACTTGGTAGCGAGGACTTGTGCAAAGTGAATACAAAAAGTAATAATAAAAGTCGAAAAAGATGCGCGTATCCCCCGAGGATGGAAGCACACGGCGAGAGTGGCGGCGCAACGGATGATGCCGAACCCCGGCGAACATATATAAAGAAGCTCCAGGGGTTTTCTTGTTATCTGACGCCCGCGCAACCAAAACAGCCACAGAAAATTATCAAGCTGAATAACAAACATAAAAAAAATCATTTGTCTTTTTCGTCGATTTTGACGAATAAAGCCAAAACCCAAAAAAATAAAGAGAGAAAGAGCGTTTATGAGTATGAGAGCGAGTCTTCCAGTGTGCGACAACAAACAGAGCCGTCGAAATAACATGTAATTTTTTTTCTACTATCCTTTAGTCCTTCAACCACTTCAACACAACCAGATCCCCTTCAACTCAAGTTTCGGATTCATCAACGACGACTCCATCAAAATTCTGTAATTTTAACCGAGAAGAATAACAAAATTTTCATCCTTTATCCTTCGATCCAGCAGTTTATTCCCTTTTCCTATTTCCTTTTCCCTAGGGCCCTTTTCAGGGCCCGTACATTTTTCACAATGGAGGATAAGCTATTTAGTTCTGCCTGAAAACTGCCCTTCTCAGGGCAAACGAAAACCAATCTGCCCTTTTCAGGGCAAATCAATAAAGTATGAACGAATGGCCTTTTTCAGGGCAATATTTATTGGTATATTTTTCTGCATACAATCTGCCCTTATCAGGGCAACTTTCTTTCAGATTGTTCAAGATACTGTGATCAATAAGACTGATGGACCATGAGAAAGTCAAGAATTCTATGGTATAATTTAATCGTTTGATCGAAGCCAGGGTCCATTTCTAAAAGGCCATGAATTCAAGCGTGCAGTACGAGGGTCAATCGCTAGTCAAAGGTTCTTTATATTCGAAGGCACATCTGTAGAAACGAAGTCACAAGGGTCAATCTTCAAGGATTATCCTGTAGGAGGTTCAATTGTGGAGTGGCGAAGCTTGTAAATATAGTAACTTATATTATCAATATATTTTATTTTCAAATTTCACATTTAACAATGACAATCTTACATAACATTAAGTGTTTCTAAACTTTAATATAAAAATACAATCGCCTACTGTTGCTTTCTTTAGTGTTGAAAAATGAAACTAATAATTTTACTCATGATCTTTCGTATACAATACGTCATTTGATACTTTTAAACCACATCATTTTGTTTGCTCCAACATCACTTTGTAATGAAAAATATAACGTTGAATGGATATTTTACTGGTAGACTTTCGATTTTTTCATCCGGTCCATAGTAACGTCCATATAATTACTATAGCTTTCTTCTATAATAATTAGATTCGTATATAATATTTTTTTACTATCTTTCACCAATAATTCACGTTTTTTTCATTGAAAGTACTTAAGATACGTTTCGCTGAACATAAAACAGTTTTGACATTGTTTGAGAAAAAAAAACAGTATACGAAACTGTACTAAAATATTTTTACTTCGTATTTTCTTTATTTATAGTACAAGAGAAATAGAGAAAAGTAATATTAAATATTACAGAAATACTTATATTTATTTAATATTTATTTTATATATATATATTTTTATACATTATTTTTATTAGCATTAAAATTGAAAATTGGTAATTATTAACTTCATCTAATTAAGTACCTACGATAATGCAAATAACACATTCAATTATATAAATAACAAAGTTTTACAGTTTATGTGAGGGCATACTGCTGAACCGTGTAATCACCTCAAACTCAACAATTATAAGGTCGGTAATCATCAATATAGAGTAATAATAAAATAAATTGACTTCGCTTGCGATCAATATCTTCGTATATGTTCGCAGAGGTCAGTAACCAGCCAAGAGAGCAGACCTAATTAGTTCAATCTATGCCAATCAGATTGCATACATATACCTATGTACGTAGAAAAGAGGGTACAATAAAATTCGACTACAAGCGAAATAATATCGTATATTTTTTACCACTTCGTCGACTTCTGTCCTTTTATCCCTCAACTTTTACGTTATTTTATTTCAGTCTTATAGCGTTAGAAATAACCACGGTATCCGTACGTCGCCACAAATGCGGCCGTCGTAGCGGACTTTCACTCGACGAGAGGCGAATGACCTCCCGTGACTTGGCCTCGTGTACGATTTCTTGGTGTGCTTATTTATAATGTGACTTTTACGTAAATATTTCCCGATTGCTTCCTTGTTTTTATAAGCATTTTTCGCATGTCGTGAAAATATCATGAAAAATTTAGAAAACGAAAAGTTCTATTTTCTTAATCTACGACAATCGTTATAATAACTATTTAAAATAGAAATAATAATTATGCTAAGAATTACGCAAGTACTGGATAAGATAGATCTATTTTTTCATTAGAATGTTTATGTTAACTCGTGTTTTGAGTTAATAAGTAAATTAAAAATAAAGTTAAAATGAAAAGATTTTCTGACATCAACTACTGGATTAACGAAACCAAATCAAAACGAGCCTATTTTTGTTACATTGTAGCTTCATACAGTATGAAAATAAATAAGTATATTTTTAAATGAAAATAATCAAGATTATAATAAAAACTTCCATTACAAAATCTTTTGCATTCGTACATGTTTATTTCGCATTTATTAATATACATAATTAAAGAAACCATGTGATATTTTTTATTTCATCTTTGATTGCTTACAATGTTTACGTAAGAAATTACAAATTGGAATGTAAAAATAAATCGGCTAGTATCTTTTCACCATAAATTAGTACGCAGCGACAATACTTTCTGTTCATATACATTCATACAATAAATTAGTAAAGCACAATAATCAATTACAATTATTTGAATCTTAATTTGATTAATAAGTTATGATTCTCGGCATTCTCCAAACTTCTAGGTTGCCTTTGGTATCGCCAATTGCTACCATTTCCCTGAAATAAAAGTAAAAATATTATTTGACAAGTATTTCAAAATATATAAATAACGCTATAGGAGTAAATTAAATACCGTTTAGGATTAAAACTTAAACAACTGGCATTATCTCTGTTATCGGAATACAGCAATATTTTTTGCAAGGCTCTGCCATTTTTCACGTTGAAAAATTTGATTTCTGGACCTGCACCATAAGCCAAGAAGATATCCTGATTTCCAAAATGCCACATTAACTGAACAGTAGTGTTTTCTACTGTGATAATTCTTAAGCTAGCCGGCTGAAACAAAATATAATTTTATATTTTAATAACATATTATATTCAATAAATTTTATAATATAATTAGCAACATTAACTTATATGTAATATTAGTAAAAAATTTCAAATAATGATCGTTGTTAAACAAAACTAAATATTAATCACTCCTTTCAATATGTTGTACCTGATCAAAATCATAAATTCTGATTTCTTTATCAGAAGCACAGGAAACAAACAAATTTTGTGTTGGAGCACTTTTTATACATGTAACGTGGCCTTTGTGTCTATCATATTCATCTATTACTGGGTCAAACAGATTTTCATCTCCTGAAAATAATTCAAAAGTAATTTAGTATTTTAAGATGAATATCAATATTCAATTGCGTAACGTTAATAAATTAACGTTAATAAAGTTAATAAATAATAAATTACCTTCTATGGAAACTGCAGTATCTATTTTACATTTATAAAGTCCACCGCACAAAGTACCAACCACTAGCAGATGTTGATCTTTTGATGAAAAATCAAAACTTGTTATACAAAGTCCTGCTTCTTGTGCCCTCTCTTTGGTCCCACCTGCACTCATTGGTCTGGCTTTTTCAGCAGGATTTTTTTCCTTTGCTATTTTATAACTGGAATGAATAGACAATGAATAGAAATTGATTCAAATATACATTTCCATTTATTTTCATATATTAGAAGAATATATACCGTTTATTCAATGTAGCTTGTGTAAAATTTACCATTAGTTTGTGAATAAAAATATACCCTTCAGCACTAGATGTTACCAAAGCTGATGCTCCTTTTAAAATTCTTTGATTCCATTGAATTTGTGAAACCAAATCACCATGAGTACAAACTTGTAATGGTGTTACAGATAATTCATCTCTTAAATTCCATACTAAAACATCACCTGAAAAACATATAATTTTTCTAAGTACACAATAAGAATAGTTTAAATGGTGCCAAAATCGTTACCATTAAATAAACCAGCAGCAATGATTGAAGGTTCTTCAGGGTGATAAAATAATGATGTAACACAAGAAGAAACTTCCAGAGTTTTACTTGGTTGTGACATCAAAAGATTATCCTTTGAAAGATTAAAAAACTGAATTTTTGTTAAATCATTGCACCATGTTTCATGATGAGTTGCACTATGGCCCACAGCTAAAGTTCCACCACCAGTACTCCAAGTTACACAACTGATTTTACCCTAAAATATATAATTATTTCTCTTTTTATATTTATTCTTAGTTATCAAGAGCTATTTATTATTTTCTATGTATATAGAACTTACTTTAAAATCTGACATTTCTAAACTATTTAGTCTATTAATTAACTGTACATTAGTAGCAGGCTCTCCATTGATTCCTAGATCATAATCGTCAAAAGCATTGCTACCATGCTGTTCATCTAAAAATTGTAACACACCAGGGGTAATACGTTTTAAGAAATCAGCTAATCTGTCATAATTATAATCTGGAGTTTTCAATGCCTCTTCAATAGTCTGTGTCTGCAAAGAAAAGTATCATTAACTCTAATGTGAATATTAATTTATAAGTATGTTACTTTTAAGTAACTTACCTCAATACTTTTCTTCTCTACAACTTGTACCTCTTCTTCCTCATGGACTACAATCTCAGTTTGAATATTGGCAAAGGTTTGCGACCTATGATTGTAAAATAAGTTTACTATGAAAACAAAATAACCTCTAAATTATGGAATTGGAACAACACTAACTTTTCACTTGATTCTTGACGTTCAAATCCTATTGCAGCATCACTTTTATCTTCAAACATGTTTAATGGATAAAATTTTAATAAACAAATAATATTAAATGTAATTCTCCAATGACTGCAAAATTGTTTAATCCACAACTGACAAAATAGTAAGTATCGTGTGAATATTTTTAATAATATTTCTGTATGCACATTGGTAACTATTTTTTATCAGCTGCGGCTATATGTTATAGCAAATTAGATCAGTATTTGTTTTTCAGCAAAGTAAGGATTGAAAAAATAAATGAGAAACCTAATATTACTTATTGTAAATATGCACATGCTACCATGCCGGCACAGCTTATACTATTGTGTGTGTGTGTGTAGGCTGTTTTATACGATACCGTCTGGAGCTTACTTTGAGCATATATATATACTACTAGAGGCAGCCCGTAGGGCTACCGAACCGTCATTGGGTATAGAAGTAGATAGCGCGATTACCAGGATAGGCTATCTCTCTCGCACCGCACGCTGATTGGCTAAGTGCGCTCTCCGCCATCAGTCGTATATATAGATATAGTTTTATATGTTACGCACTTCCAGGTTGTATATACAAAGCATGTGGCTTTGTATAACAGTTTAGTTTTTTATACTTTCTGTTTTTTTCTCGCGTATGCTATTGCAAAATGCCTCGTCAGTGTTTAATTTAATAGGAAAAATTCTATCTAAAACAACGCTCATCTGGTTATACTTCATAATTTTCAGTAAAATAATTTTTTTTAAATGAGAATAAAAAATAACAAGTACAAATAACTATAAATTATGATATAAAAAACCACATATTATACACACATATATGTACGCTCGGACATTCACACCTGGAAGGTTGGAAGCGCGCTATATATTAGTTATTTAAGACGTATCCGAGACTCTCCCTTGATGCATAAAAAATTTTTTAGTTTTGGACCTCGTATATAGCGCCAGATTTTCGAGTCACAGTGGGATTACAATGAATTAAAAAAATTGGTAATTTTTTTAGAACATTTATTATGATATTATTTAAATAAAATTAATACATTTTTATTGACATATAGCTTTAAAAAGTTATTTGTAATTAATAGTTATATTATTGCAATTTTTTAAAATGATATAAGGTTTTTTATTTTCTACGTTGACTGAGTATTTTCAAAACAGAAGAACAATTTTTATATATCGACAAGTATAGTTTCGCCGCTTTCTCATGACAAAGAAAATCTCGACGCGGTCATAAAAATGCATAATTTGTTTGAAGGATGGCTGTAAACAACATGTGTTAGCCATAATGTCACTCTACTACTCTCGCCAAGTATCTATAGGCCATCATATGCCTGATAGTACTACCATCATACTACCATCATATGGCCGAGGAGCCGCAAGCTATATGATGGTCGTACGGTCGAGGAGCCTACGGCTGAGGAGCGTAGGCGAGTGGAAGGGGAATCATGATTATGGTCGAGGAGAGACGCGCAGAGAGTATACTCATATCAGCGCTCGTACCTACTGAGTATACTCTGCGCGTAATCAGGCGCATACGGGGTCCTAAACTAAAAATAACTAATATACAGAGATTATCTCTGGTATATATAAACTAGATATTTAAATGGTTAGACCATTTTAGTTTAACGCTTTCTTAAAAAATATAGTTTTTTAAATAATTTTTTTTAAATATAGTTTTTTAAATAACTTAAACATTGAAAATTTATGATTATCTTATATAAAAATGTGATAATCTACCAAGCGAAATCATTTTATTCCCCTTATAATTATTTCTTTCTTTCTTTTATATAAAAATGTTGAAAACTATGCTGAAGCATTTTATTCGTCTGATTATTTTTAATTGAAAAAAAGTGCGAGAACTCCAATTAATTTTAGTTAATTTTGATTTCACTTATAATTTAATTTGTATTTTGCAAGAAAATAAAACAAAAATTTAATCTTAAATTTATCATTCATGATCATAATGTTTATCATCATTTATTAGCTTTATTCTGTTATAAAAAATTCTCTTTATATAAAAAAGTGATGGATGCCATGTTGAAGCATTTTATTCCTGATCTGGTTGACTAAGGCCCCGGTCCCATAGGTATACGTACGGATGCGGACACGAATCGCAACTCTAGTAACATCACTAAAAATATCTAGTTCGATTATTTAGTACCAACACTACCGGTAATGAGCAAAAGTGACTGTTGTTTAAAACTGTAGCGCCAAACGTACCACATTTAATGTTCAAATGTCAGGTCTACAATTTACTTTTCAAATTTTCATGAATATTGCTTATTGATGAGTATGCTAATGTAAAAAAAGTTTTTGGGATGATTAATACATATCATTTATATATATTTTCTTCTTCTTCTCATATTAAACATTGAACTTCTCATATTGATCATTAAATGCGGTACGTTCGGCGCTACAGTTTTAAGCAACAGTTACTTTTGCTCACTACCGGTAGTGTTGGTACTAAATAATCGAACTAGATATTTTTAGTGATGTTACTAGAGTTGCGATTCGCGTCCGTATCCGTCCGCATCCGTATGTACTTATGTGACCGGGGCCTAAGATATATTTACATGATATACTTTTGGCTATTCCGTTTTTCCGGAGGGTTGCAATGTGAAATAGAAATGGAACTAGAAATCGAAAATATTGCACTATTGCGAGTGAGGTGGGAAGAAAAATGAGGTTGATAAGACAGAAGCGTTTCATCCCTGTAATACCGGCTGGTCTCGCCAGTGAGGCTCGACGGCCGGTAACACAAAAAATAATTTCGCACAATTATAATTGCGTAAAGAACTCGAAGAGAGCTGTCCTGAGAAAATAGGCAGGAAAATCTGTGTATAAATACGTTGATTTTTGCACAAGCTAGCATTCACTCCTAGCCTTGCAAAGTGAGCGCATGAGATTGAATAAACTTTCGCGACCGTGACAGGACTCTTGTAATATTAGTTTGCGTTAATTTGTTTGTTGTTTATTAGTTTAATTGAATATGCCGAAACGAAATAAATGTGATGTTCGTATCATCTTTTATTTATATTATTGTTCGTACTCTCGTGGTCTATCGCGTTAATGAGTAAGAATTTGTTTCAATTTCCAAAATGCTTCTAAATATTAACTTTGAAATAAAATAATAAATGAATATGTATGATTATATGAGTTAGAATTCTAAAAGTTACAATTAACGGAAAAAGTATTGTCAAAAGTTATTAACTAATAAAGTTAATTAATGTGATAGTGTAATATTTAGAATAAAATAATGATAAAATTTTACATAGATCAAGTCTATCACTAGTAGAAGTAATTTCTAAAAATGATTACTTAAATTAGTTAATAACATTTAAATTATAGTCAATTTTCGTATTTGTAACGGTTTTTTGTAAAATCTTATAATGCCAATACTAAACTAGTTAATTAAAATCAATAAATTCTAAAGTTGTCATTGCTATATACAAAATTAACGCTTTCGATTTATATACAATTATATGTTTAAATAAATTATTAATTGTTTAATTATTAATTGTTTGTTTATTGATAACAGTAATAACTAAGCTGTTATCAATGAAACAACTTCTTACTCATGTTACTTAGATAATCATCATGAATTTAGAGTATCCGCATTATTCTAATATTTAATATTTACAATGTAATAAATAAATTAACTTTTCACATTAAAATTTAATATAATTTAGTAGTTAAACGCAATTAAAATTATTATAATCTAAATCTATGCCCTAAAATCTATATAAAAAATGCTTTGTTTCATTGAAATTACTCTTAATTAACATATTTTAATAAAACAACAAAACAACAAAAACTATTATATCTATGTCTATAAGTAGGTGACGTCACACTCCTTATATGGTCATGAAATTTGACTCTGGTACTAAGTCAATCATATAATATATGAGGTGGCGCCGTTTAATATGCCAATTGATGTAAACAGATTGATGAGTTTAGCGGGTTGCAGTCATTCAGTGAAAATAAGAAAATTCATAGATAGGACCGTTACATTCAAATCATTCGTTACAAGCACAGAAATTCACCCTATAATTGAATAGTATATTAAGTTACATCCTGAGAATGTAGAAAGATTTTTCGTGTAATACAAAATTCAAATGTGTACTCACTATCCCCTCCTCCCCTACCACGACCGCGCCTCGACGTAATCGACTGAGATGCGTAAATAACTAATATCATTGTCGTCGTTGCCGCCATATTGGAAAAGTAATGCTTAAGATTTTCTTATTGGAAGCTGAAAGCCAGCATTATTAGAGAACTCATCTAATTCATTCAAGGTTAATAGTATAAGTTGGATGCATGTTTCTATATTTTTTCCTTGAATAAATAGAGTGATGTAATCGGCGAACGTTGAGCATTTGATCGGGGCTTTAATACACTGAAATATGTCGTTCAATGCCAGTAATTATTACTGAGCCTTGCGGTACTTTGTTTTCTATAATGACTGCTTCAGATAAATTGTTTAAAATTCGTACTCTGATGATTCTATTGCTGAGGAAGTTTTTGATGAAATGAAATATAAGTCCTGTAATTTTTAAACGTATAAGAATTTGTAGAATCCTGCGAGGCCATAGTAAATCGTAAACTTTGTTCGTATCTAGACAGACGGCGAGTAGGTGGTGTTTTTGTGCGAACACTTCGTATATGTTAGATTCTGAGGTAACTAAGCAGTTTGTAGTGCTGCAGCCCTCTCTGAATCCGCTTTAGCAGTTATTTAAAGTGCAGCAAGTTAGTGTTATAGGTCTGTAGCTGTTTTTGTCGTATTTGTTTTTGTTTGATTGAGTACTGGAATCATTGTAGCTTATCTTCATTCATCGGGGAATTGATTTTGCGTTTATATCAAATTCTACATTTTAAGAAGACTTATATGGGCTCTGTGTGGCAGTTGTTTGAAGAATTTTAGGTATGTTGTCCTGGTCTGGGCTGGTATTTTTGTTATTATGCAATATTTTTGTTAGTTTTTCCATTGTGATCTCTCTGTTTCATTATTGTTATTATTATCTTGCGGGATTTCTAATGGGGGTTGAAAGTTTTTGTAAGATAAGAAATTATTGGTTAAGTTTGAGTCATTGGAGTTTTTTGCGAAGGTTTTAGCCGAGTCATTGGCTTTTTCTTTAAAATCATTTTCGATTTTATCTTTTTAGTAAGATGATCGTTTTTTATGTTCTCTTGCCTTCGATTGATTTAATTTTTCTCCAGATTTCGTTAAGAGGTAGTTGATAGTTCATGGTTATTTTATATTAGATTTAATTTTTATTAGCTATCTCGCAGTTTTTATTCTACCCATGATTTTTTTGTTTCCAATAAAATTCGTGTACTTAGAAATTATTCGCGGGGTGCAAGGAATTTATTTGGCTAGGCCCGGGCACATGAGATCAAAACAATAATATTGCGGAGCGATAGCAAAACACGTCTGTATGCTACAGGAATTACACGTGAACTGAAAGTAAGTTTATATTTTGAGTAAAGTGACAATAGTGTTGCTTTTGAATTTGACAAATAACAAAAACTCACTACTGTACAATTATTTTCATATATTGATAGTGTACTGACAGCGTGTGGTATTGAAAGTGCTTTGAACGAGCTTGCACATCCATTCAGGTCAGATAAAGTATGACTCATTATAACCAGACTGCTCGAAGTCACTAAAGATCACAGAAGGGCTTGGATTGAAAAAAAAATCAGAGGAGATAACATCATTAAAAAGTATCTAGATCTAGGAGATTATCATATGGCACATGAAAAATATATAAGCTTATTTTAATAATGTTTTTAAAATAAATTCAATATAATAAGTTACTATTATTTTTCACAGATTCTTTACGAGTGTATTCACACAATTAAAAAAATATTGATACTATTCTTATTGCTATTGAGAACGTTATTAATGAACTGTACTCCTATTATACTAGTAAACCAAATAAGAAATGTTCAGGTTTGTTAATAATTATCAAGAATCGTATTGACAAAGTCAATTCAATGATCATAGAGCAACTGTGCAAAGATTTTCTTTCGAAGCCTTATAGAAATAAATCCGTTTTAGGCAATTTGTGAAATAATTCTAGTTTTCTAATCTTCGGCTGCCAGTTATCCTCTTCAAAAGGTAATCGGTTACTTGTTATTTCAGGCGTTTCGGTTGTATGCAATTCGACATTAAATGCTCTCATTACCAAATTATTTCTGCCGAATCTCTTAACGAAATCGTTGTTTGCTTCTTATTACGATTCAGTTTTGCCCACACATCTTCGTCGACATAAATGTCTAATTCAAAATATATCTTTCGATAAAAAGAACAACTCTATAAGTACTTGGTTCCCGTCATTCACTTTGTCGCAAATTTTTCTTTGTTCATTCAATGTAAATTTTGCTGAAAATAATGTGACATGTTATGTTTTTAATACAAAAACCTGTAAATATACATTTAATCGTTAACACTACTTACAAAAATTAAGGTATAATAAACAAGTTCTACATTTTTGAGATTTTTTTCAATGACATAACTCGGAGAGAAATTGTTGTACAGAAAATAAAATTGTAGCTTCAAGTTTTTAGTTTTTAGATTTGAGCTGTAACGGTTTTTAATGTGGGCGGTTTTCGAAAAGTCGTCGAAAAACTAACGAAAAGGAATTTTTCTAAATTTTTCTTCGTTTTTAAAATGGTCTGTGAACTTTAAAAAATTTTTTTCTATGATATGAATTCGAAACTCTTTCAGGTAATTTCATTAACTTTAATTCGCTTTTTTAAAGAGCTCCGTACGATGTTTTGGCTCAGAGTATTGTCGATCAAAACAAAAAAGCTCATGTTGACTTTGATAATCAATTACTCGGAAGCTAGTGATCATACAAAAAAAGGAAGTAGAGTTTTAAAAATTGTAAAACATTCTCTATGAAATGTGATTAGTGGCTGTTGATAAAAAAAAAGTTTTTCAAAGTTGACTGAAAAAAAGTTGAAAATTTACAAATTGAAGGATATATATTAGAATAACTTTGGATATAATGGATGAATGAAGAATCTCGACTTTAATTTTCAAACCTCGAAGTGTCCCTAAAAACCCTCAAAGTTTCGGAGCGCTGCGATTTTCTTTCTTCGTGTCCTGAAAGTTTAAAATAAACATTTCTGTCAAAAATCACCATAACAAGCAATTTTTTAGATTTTTATTAATTTTTTCAATTAAAAAATGTTTTTTTTTCAGCAATAATAAGTAAATTCTCTATTCAAAGACAAAAATTTTCAAGAAGAATAGACATAAAAAATGGTAAAACAAATTTGAAAAGTAACGTATCTCTATTTTATAATGATGAGAGGTTGGGGTAATCGACTCTAAGATTTTATAGTGATATGAGAAATCTTTTCAATAGATTTTACTGAAATGAGGATGTACCTATTTCTAAAAATACAGTTTGTAAGATTATGTCACGATTTCAACAAAGTGGATCGACGAAAAACATTTGACAGACTGGATAACTGATGAGATGGTCTATGAAGAATAGGACATATTCTGACGTATGATTTTTGCAGTACGATATTAATTTGTACTGCAGGAAAACTAATATAAATAGACATGTGACTGATAAATTAAGTGGTTTTTAATGATCCTGCTCGATTTTTCAGCACAGGGTAATCAAAGGCAAAAGAGTCCGAAAGTCTATTGAAATATGTCCTTTAATTTATAATGACAATTCAATATAATCTTTTTATAGGCATATTTGCTATCTTTTTATAGATATCTTTTTATCATTAGCGACCAGAAAAAACAAGACATCAGACATTATGCTATCATTTGTAGCAAAGCCACATGGAAGTAGTCGTTCAGTAGATAAACAGCATGAAATTGAAACAGCAAAAAATAAATCCGACTCAAAGTATTAAATATGAACAAATTTCATCCCTATAGTTATGCCTGTCCAGGCGTTAAAGGAAGATGATCGTTGTCTCAAAATTTGCGAGTCCATAATGGAATGAGTTTATCATAATCCATTATTAATAAGTAATGTAGTTTTTTTCAGACGAGACACCATTTCAGTCAAATGGAAATTTCAATAGACACAATTATAGATTTTAGTATGAAATTAATCTTTATTGGATAACAGTCATATACGATATCTTTAAAAGCTAAATATCTGAGCAGGTATTGTTGATAATGTTTTGATCGATCTCTTTCTCATATAAGCAAACTTCGAAAAATATAAAATAATGTTAAGAACACAAATAGTTTCAGCAATATGAGAAATGAAAGATAATTCCGTAGATACCTAATTTCAGCAAGATGGTGCTGCATCACATTTCGACAGTTTCTTGATATCAATTTTCCCGATAGATGGATAGTTCAAAGACGAATGATTGAATGACTCCAAAAATCCACTGATTTAATATCATTAAACTTTTTTAATAGGAGTATTTAAGTTTAATCTTCAAAATCTCGACGAATTAAGAAACTAAATTTGTCAATAATATCATTCCACCAAATCTTAAAATTTTCCGTAGAATAAAAATAAATATTATTAAAGTTTACAAAATTATATACTTTACGCAAAAAAATCTTCAGGTGTCTATCTTTTTACCTCACCTAGTACATTTATCAATGTATTCAAACTGTATAGTTTGTTCATGCGTACATACTACTAGAATCTTATAGTGTGCATGTAAAAGTTCAATTTATGCAACGAATTAAACAAAAACGTAAAATGAAGAGTACGTCAAGTTAAACGCAATGATATAGTTTTTTTTTGAAAAAAGGAATATGTCTTAAAAATTTATTTATATTAGCTTAAATATATGATCGATATTATCTATTAATAATTTAAAATAATAGCTAAAATTTAAGTTTAATTTTTCTGGAAATTGAGTCATTAAACATATTTTCATTACTTTATTTTTTTTTAATTTTGCCGAATTGCTTAATATTGCAAAATATGTATTGGCGTTCGTATTATGGTGAAATGAATATTACATCTCACGTTTTTAAAAAATTGAATTCATGAGCTTTTTCTAACATTTTATCACAGAACTGTACTTCCGCTTATCCGATTGTATTAAACTTAAAAGTTTCAAGACTTAATAAATGTATATAATATTATATAATACATGATAATAGATGTGTATTCCAAGACGCGGACAAATAATCAAGATTTCGAAAAGGCTTCCAACAGATTTAACTTCCAGTTGAAATTCAAGTACATTATCAGTAAAGTGTCATACCTCAAAGTCTTGTTTAGCAGATCGTGTATAAGCTTGTTAAGTCCTACCATAAGCCGGATATATACCTCTCAAAGTTAAGCCGATGTTCACTCTGACATATCTATCTCATTTACGTTCCACCTGCGTTGCACTGCTGTAGTGGGTCTCACATTGTCTTGGTGAATAGTTTATTTTTATTGTTTAAAAATACCTCGAAGGGTATGAATATTATCTTGCTACCAACGGCACTATACTAATATTATATCATTATTTTATTCAGGACTGAAATAAAATCTTGAATTGATCTAATATAATAGTTCATTCTGCGTACACTAAAGGGAAATTATGACGACATCTAGTTTTACTTGTTATCAATGTGACAAAGGAAATTGCAATGTACCAGACGAACAAATGTTCCTTTGCAAGACTGAATTTAACGTAAGTAATTATTTCATTTGTCAATTATTTATATCTAAAATTCGTAAATACGCAACAAATTTTGTCGGAATTTCAGTGCTGGAAATCTTTGACTGAATTTGGAAGCAGCCAACTGGAGTCCCGTGGTTGCATTCCTACAGCGCACCATGATCTATATCTTTGTAATAATACAAAAGAGGAATTCAAACCTAGAGATCTTTACAGATGCTGTGCAGAAGAATTCTGCAACGACGGTAATTTTGCTGTAATAGAGGATCTTGGTAAGCATTGATTTTCTTTTCTATTCTATAAATTCGCACTGTATTTTATCTGACAGTAATCCAACAATTTTCATCTGATCAACGATCGGTATAGATAGTTATTTCGTCTGGAAATATTATGTACTCTACGGACTTCTAATTTTAATCATCTTGATATGGGTCTCTGCTGGCCTTTATGTTTACAAACTTCGCATTAATCGAGCACGCATCTCTAATGCAGAGAGGCGACCACCTCCTCCTCGACCGGAGATGATACCGCTGCGTAGAGTGAATGTGCGAACTAGCGCCTGGTGATAGACTTGAATCGCTCCTGTCAGCGGTAGCATAGTACATATATGTACAATTATACAGAGTATCAAAGCCTTTATTAACGGTAAGATTGTCGATTGATCGATTGCCAACTGGAACGCGCCAACGATCAGTTTTAGGAGCAGGTTCAGAATCACGTAAATCCGTACTTAACCAAGGTATTTTTTCAAAGCATATATCGTTCGTTATTCATCAGTTTTTTCAATTCGATGAACCAATTATATGCTTTTAGCTTTCAGAATAAATTTGGATTTCAGCGTTATTGACAAGCCGACATTTACAAATTGAGCCTCGTGTTCTGGGAGACACGAATTGTTTTTCAAGTGATTAACCAATGGCAAATGAGAGCTGGTAACGCACGACATTCATGACAAATGCATCTATCAAATCATCAAATTTGATAAAACGCGTTATGTAAGTGTATATCCTGACTAGGCACCCGTGGAAGTTTGGACGGATTATGATGGATCTATTACTTGTTTCTTGATTGATCATTCACAAAATTGTTAAGCGCGCGACTGTCAGTGTATTATTATTACTTTCTTTTCAGGCTGTTTATTTTGTGGACACGCGAGAAAATTATAATATTTATCATTGAATTATACGCTGAAATTCAGTGATAGAATTTTCTTGAAAAGAGACGATAGCAAAGCATTCCAATGTATTTATAAGCTTAATAAAATTACGTCACAATTAAATTCTATTACGTTGAATAGTAATAAGTTTTGCTTCCTGTGGAATACGCGATATTTAGAGTAGTTTAAGCCAGTTTGATATTAACTATTACAAAATTATGAAAATCAGCGAATAGCTTCCGTCACTTCGTTAATTTTTTGAATTAAATTACCTTACATAAAACAATTAAAAATGGTAATTGTAAAGTCTGTGGAGAATAGTTTTAACTTTATCGACGAAAGCCTGAAAATTAGTTCGTTGTTCTATACAAATCAATCTTTAATCAACAGACTATTAAGAAATTTTTAATTTTTTTGTTTCAACGTAACACAAATTTTAATGTAATGAAAAAAGTAACATTTTATACCAGCATTAGACTACCTCCGCAGCAGCATCCCTCTTCCCTCTAACTTACAATGTTGTAGAACAGTCGCGCACAGTACTAGATATGAAACTCTCACGGCAAACATCATAGAAAGAGAATTTACCATGTAAAGTTTCCTTGTCTCGTATTTTTATATAGTAACGCCCTACGCCGCCATCGCAGCCGTTACATTCACTCTCAAAGCTCTGAACAGGCTGTGACTATGAGTTCTGTTCACTCAATACATGGCACAAGAAGTTCGTTTGCGACATGCTATTCGGTTATATGACTCTTACAGATTCTTAATTATTGATTTTGAATATTTTTTTTCTTAACTCGTAATTATCGATCTATGAATTAGCCGAATATTTTGAGATTTTTTCTATGATGAACCGATAGTCGAAATTACCTATTATTACATAAGACATGAATAGAATATGGCTTTATTTTTACAGTAAAATATCATCCATTTGGATCGGTAACTAATCCGACCGAAAATATTCCGTAACTTACGACGGTAAACTTCGTATATTTCTCAATCTTAACTTCCAAATCTCTTTTACCACGATGTAAGTATTAATTGAAATTGATTATCGGATAAAAATGAAATTAAATTAATTATTGAAGAATTCAAATCAATTTGTGTATAAATAATTTTTCAAGTTGAATAGTATAGCAGTAAAATTATGAATATTATATACAAAAACTCTTAACGTCGCACGACTTTCATGACGTTTTGCAACGATATCTATAAAATCAATAAGCTACTTGAATAAATATCTCAATTGATAAATACTTCTACAAAGTAGCTTAATAGAAAAAATTTTAGTACATATTCAATAAATAACGTTGAAAAAAATGTTGCGCAAAAAATTGTGATACGAAGATATTTTGAACACGTAGGTATAGATGGAAGCCGTGTATTTATTATCACATAACAAATATTAATTGGATCTGATTTTCATTCGGTTATTCGTTGGTAGAATTGAACGCATCGAGAGTACACATTGTCCTTATATAAGAATACTTGAAAGCACCACCATGTTTACTTTGCTTACTTTTGAGGACCATTCTGCATGTTGAACAATTATACGATTAAATACTTGCGAATATTGTTTGTGTACATTTTGCAAGTACTAGCGAAGAGTTTTGAATCAATGTCGCACACATAAATACAAGGGAAAATAATTTGTATGGATAAAAAATGAAGCATTTATTCAATTTCTTCGCACATGTCGACAGTTATCTTATATCTGCCGCTGGGTTCTTCGCATATAGGAAAAGCTGTGTGTTCTAGAATGAAGATGAGTACTTAAAGCGGAGTACTGATCTCTTCCTGTCGAGAAAGTGAAATCATTTATTACAGGAAGCTGAGGAGATTACGGTCTGAAACAATATAACGGACACGAATATTTAAAGCGGAGTACTTATTCCTACCTGTTAGACCGTTAAGTCATCATTAAGTTTATTATAGGAAACTAAACATAAATAAACTTAGAGAAAATGTAAGTGTACAACACATACATTTGAAAATTATAATTTATTGTTATTAGGGAACAATAGATAAAAATATAAATTAAAAATACGAAAAAATTCTCAAACATTTTAAAAGAAAGGAAAATATTACTTAGTTCACAAACAACTTTATAAATTTAACTTGCTCATGTTGTAACTTTTATTTTCTTACGTAGACAACACGAGAACGAACTTTATAAACATGAAACGTCACATTTTCTAATAAATTCTTCCAAATACAAAGACTTATAAATTATTTCATCCAAGTTACATTCACATTGTTTTTTACAAATGTCACATCCAAATATGCAGATTTTTATTTATTTATTTAACAGTTTATTTCAGAAACGAAATTCTACGTATATACAATTCATATCCGTAAATGATAAGCACTCGGACGATGTACTTAAATTTTTCAAAGCGGCATCCGACAAAAATAGTTGAATAATATCGAAGCAGATGTAAAGCAAAGGCAAGCTCTAAAATAATATCCAGAACATTTTTATGTACCATTTATTCTGCATGGAATATTAAAAAATCAGTTAAATGAAAAATAAAAATTAAATAGCCGCCATGAGGAGTGTAAAAATTTCTCCTCTCTCACCACTCCAAAAGTGGTAGGGGAGATTAAGTTTACATATGCTAATGACTATAGGGGACCAAGCCTAATGCGTATAGGTACCTATAGTGTACTTCTGTAGCGTTTTACATGAACGTAGTTTTTGAAGTAATAACAATAAAAATTTCTAAAAATATGATTTCCTTCATTATTATATTTATCCTACTTTATTATATTGAAGTTTTCGTGTTTCTAAGTAAATTTCAAGAAGATAATATTAATTTCATTCTCACATATAAGCATAAAACTATCGATTTGTACTAATATAATTCCAGTATCATTTCAAAATTCAAAACATAATTTCTGATTTTCTTGAAACGAATTATAATTGTATATTTCTATTTTTCCATATATATAAATCTCCTACTTCTGGAATATAAATGTTTCAAATATAGTGAAATTACAAATTTTATGATTTTCCAAATCAACCAATCACAACTCTGGATGTCGGCGACTCATCATTTTTTTTATGTAGTCGATATCATTTGAGATAATTATTAAAATTTGAGGTTCGTCAATTCCAATTAATGCAATAAGATATGCAAATTGAAGTTACGACTTTTTATCAATATTATACCAAATAGTTACACTTCTGTTTGTTCAGGTATATTACGCTTATCAAATATAAGTTTTAATAAATATATAATAACATATTTCATGTTAATAAATTTATTTCAAGACATGAATAGATTTACAGGTACCACTGTTATATAAATCCATTGATGGAAGATAAATAGGGTATATACGCTAAAGTTTTGTTTAGCAGGTCGTATAAGCTTGTTAAGTCCAACTGTAAGTCAGAAATATACCTCTCATAGCCACAAGCTGCTGATAAATACTACCAAATCTACTTCATTATCGTTTTATCTGCAGTGCTGTAACAAGTCTTGCATTAACTTGATGAATAGTTGATTTTGATTTTCAACTAAAAAGGATATATATTGACTCTAGTGGTGACAAGATTTACAAAGTTCTTCTAATTTGTAAGTAACTAGATAGAATGGTCTGTGAAATTCATGACTACTGTCGTGCTATCGTCTTGTTTTAATATTAAATAACTTTTCTATTTAGGACTTAAATTAGAATCTCAAATTTATCTTATATAACAGATCATTCAGTGCACGCGAAAGAGACATTATGACGGAACCTACTTTTAATTGTTATAAGTGTGTCGGAAATGAGTGCAATCTACCACAGAAAGAAATGCCAATTTGCAATACTACAATTAACGTAAAAGCTCTTAATTACTTCATCTGCCAATCATATATATGTCAAATTTGCTTATAAACAACAAGCGTTTCGCAATTTCAGTGCTGGAAGTCTGTGGCTCGAAAATATAAACATATGTATCGATATTATTATGGATGCATCTCAACAATGGCAGAAAACGAAAATATTTGCAATAATGCGACAAAGAAAGATAATACTAAATGCTGTACAGGAGATTTATGCAACGACAATAACTTTCAAGTACAGTATGATCATCGTAAGCATATATTTTTTTCATTCAATAAATGTACACAATGTTATAACGGTTAATTCAATCGATACAGTTGGTGATCGCACCTGGGTGTATGTAATGGATATTGTTCTAATAATAGTATTAATAATTTGCATTTACTTTACTATATACTACATGAGAAAATTGACTACGCATAATATTACCAACCTGCGCAGACGTTATGAACCAGAGTTAGAAATGCTGCGAAGAAGAACGACTGATGCACCTTCAGAAAGTCGCGAAGATAGGAATGACCAGGCTACCTCTCAAGTATAGTTCAGCTTATTATACAAAGTATCGAATCCTTTATTAACGGTAATATGATCTATTTATCAACAAGAAACGTCTTAATTTGATTTTTGATCAATATGATTCTTTGTAGAAACGCCCCAACGGCCTTACCGAAGCAAGGCGTCTTTTCAAAGCATATTTCATTTGTCATTCGGTACTTTAAGTAATTAATGAACCAATTGTATGATTTCAACTTTCACAAGGAAATGGAAATTTAGAGAGTTGTCAATAAACCGCCATCTACGAGTTGAGCCTTCACAATGTGATTCCTTTTTCTAAGTAGCAATCCAATTAAACGAGAGCCGACAACCAAGGAACTGCGTTAAATAATCGAAGGCTTGAAATTCTCGATGATTTGCACACTACTTATCCGACATGTTGAAAAAAACAATCTTATTGTAGCATTCAACTGTGCAATTTAAATGACGTTTGAATTTTCAAATAATGAATTAGTTGGGATCTTAAATTCAGGACTGACGGATCACGAAAGCGATCATATTTTTTTCATTCAATAAATGTACACGATATTGTAACTGGTAATTCAATCGATACAGTTGGTGATTCCAACTGGGCGCATGTAGTACCGGGTGTTGCTCTAGCAGCAGCGTTCATAATTTACAACTACATTGCCATACTTTACATTGGAATGTTGAGTACAGGTAATTATCTACAGGCGCAGGAATTATCCACAGAATCAAGAAATACCGAGCGTTAGCCAATTTGACAAATTAATAAGACACTTTCTTATTAATTTTAAACGATTTTTAAACGTACTGCAATGATCGAAAACTAATTGACCATACTGTAACTTGCGTATATCTCTTAATGTTAAATCATCAGTGATTTTTCAACATTTGGTTTGTATCTATATTCCTTGTATGACTGTTGTTACGCGCAGTAAAAAGATTACTGCGCGTTTAAGGAAATTGAAATTATAAAATATCATAAATAAAATTTATTACTTATAAGGTTTCGTTCGTACACCATTTTTATGCATTTTTTCGTTTTAGCCTACTTATTTTGAACGACTTATATGCGTCATTAATTTCACCAACGAGACTTAGAATGTCAATCGTAACAAATGTCAAGTGGTTATATATTGATTTTGTATAATTATATTGTAATAGGGTCAATTTTTTTTAAATTAAAGGTCAAAGTCTCTACTTTAAGATGGTGGAGCTCTATTTTTGATTTGACCAAACTTCTACATACGTGACTTTGAAATTCAAGGTCATTTTTTAAAGTTCAAAAATCGTAAACTCTCGCAGTGCATTCGCGCGTGGGTGATTTCTTTTGATAATTCTGATCATTGCATCTTAAAGTTCAGCTTTTTTTCTTTAATTTATAAAAAAATTGATCCGTTACGATTTTTTTAATGATTTTACAACGTTTTAAAAATTGTATTAAAAAATGATTTTTTTCGTGAAAAATTTGATAATTTGGATCCTCCCTATGATTCAATCAGCGCTGTAGAACGATATTTCAGGTTCAAAATAACATATGCACGGGTATGAATGTTATTTCTTGGTTGATTCTAATCAAATCGAAATGAAAAACTCGTATTCGAGCAAAATAAGTATTACCGTCGACTTTAGCGTTATCGAACAAGCACCACGAGAAGTTAGTTGATCGGGTTTAGCTTATCATACGTATGTGTATGCGTGTATATGTGAAAAGGACCGATTACTAATAATTGTACAGAAAGTCCTTAATATCTTGTTTATCCACCTCGGCGTCGAATAACCTCTACTAATCTTGCAGGCACATTAATGCAAGCTCTTACCATGTCTTGAGGTATCTCGTGCCATATCTCATTTAGAGCTTATCTTAGTTCCTCAAGATTCCTTAGCCGTCTTTTAGAAACTGTTAATAAATTTAACCAATCTTTGTTATCTATTTACAAAATATATAATTATGAATTTATAATGTACATTTTCACAGCGGTCGTTTGCTCGTCTCTACATCAAACAATGAAGAATGAAGGACTCCATAAGTATCGTAATTCGTTGTTTAGCAAACGATGTAAGAAAATTCGGTTCTATCTATATAATGATTTGTTACCCGTTTGAAAATTTAAATAGAATTTTAAAGAAATGTGTGCATGGATCACGTCATCCGGAAATGCAAATTATTTCTGCAGTGTTGACATTTTTGAGCTTAACTGGAGTCAAATTAAGTACTTAAAAGTTTATACTCCAGCATGGACGTTTACCGGAGAGTGGATAAATCTAGAGCGCATCGACACAAAACAAGACATCTTATCAATAGTCTATGTGCAATAGGAACCCTTAAAAAAATGTTGTGCCAGATTTAATATTAAACACTTTACACTTTACAGGCTTTTTTGGCTGGGAACATCGATATATCAAAATGTCACATATTTCTCAGGCTACTAAAAAATACTATTTTTTATGAAATCGAACTATACGTGAAAAATAAAAAAACTAATATTACGTTAAGTACACGTACAACAATCATGCTTATTACAGAATTCTGTATTGTTTTATAATACTATGTAAATGTGAGTACGGAAGAAAGTATTGTGAGTACAATAATAACTGTAAAACATATGCAATTATTACTTAATGCGGGTTGAAAAGAGTTTTTATGGGTAATATAAATAATATTTATATTTCTACTATGTATACTAGTGTAAAATTAGAAAACCAATTGTTGGCTATTGATACTGAATCTATCATACAAATTTGTTATTTCTCAAAGTGGAAAATATTTATTATATGACTTTACCATCTAATATTTATGACTAAACACGCCTGTAAATTTTACGTACGATATGTTACTGATTTTATAAGAAACATTTTTAGAAGAAAGGCCATTGTAAAAAGTAGTATTAATTGAACGACATTACAAGTAGGTTATCCATCTTCTTAACTAGAACTATTGTTTTTTCTAAAAAAAATATCAATAAAACTATTAAAAACTTTTAAAATACTTCTTCAACTAGAAAATGTTAAAAAATGTAATAACCTTTGCCAAAGTTAGCTGAATGTTGCTAAAACTTTTACCAAAGTTACTCAAAAGTCTAAAACCAAAAGTTTCCAGCTACCAAAAAGTGTTTACAAAGTTTCAGCAAACGTGAAAATGTGTACGACAAAGGCAGTACAGGCGTCAATTGTGTTTTCCCAATAATAATGAAAAAAAAAATTTTCACATCTTCGCACAACTTGTTCCAAAGTTGGCCTCTGGCTTTATCTCGCTATCCGAAACGCCAAAAATATTTTTAAAGTATAAGCTTGGCCAAACTTAATTCAACCATAAACTTTAGCCAAGTTTGAAATAAACTTTTCTATTTTTACTCGGGGACCTAACCCAACCCGTTTGAAAATCATTTTATCTGGCCCGTTATTCCGATTCATAATTGGCTTCATTCCAGGCAGAAACCCATCAATAATAATCATGCCCTCAGATGAATTGACGATAGAGTCATCGAAGCCGCTTCTGAGAAAAATTGTGTCGGAGAAAGTAAAATAAAATAGCTTAAAATATCGTGGTTCAGTCTGATCCAAATATCCAAACCTATCCTAATTTTTAATTGACTCGTACAGTTAGTGTACAACCTTACTAATTATTTATTTTTCTTACCTTATATCACATTTTCATCTACAAGGACATTATTCTCATGTAAATTCATAATATTGTTTTCTAATTCAGTCACAAAAATAAAGTATCACATTCCGAACTTAATACATCGATTATTTTTGTTGTATCAAATTATTCTGATACTTATAAAAGAATTTCCTTATTATAGGATTCAATCGTAAAATATCTAATTATTTTGTCGTTGTGTCGATTTTACCATTGTAATGATTGATAATAATGACTATAAAGAATTTACAAACGCGATAACAATTTCTTCGTATATCATTCACTGCCAAAACGATATGACAACTCGTTTGAAAAGCGAAAGCGATTGCAGCTTAGAGGAAATAAAGTATTCCGCCAAACGATGACGTTGACGGTGGAAAACTCGATCGCTACAAGTTGTCCTTTAAAGTGCAATTATGTTTTTTTCAAAACATTCAATTAGATGTAAAATAATAAATATGAATGTATTTTAAAAATTTTCACTAAATAAAAAGTAATTTCCGTGAATAAATATTTTATAAAGACAATTGTATGATGGATATAAAAATGAAACTATTCTAAAGCAGCTTTTAAATCAGCCAATTTAGTTACCATCAAAAAAGATACTTAAGAAATGGTTACAATAGTAGCCTTAAGAGTAAAAAAAGTCAAAATTAGAGTTATACGTAAAAGTAAGATTCCATGCTTCACAGCAAACCAGTAGCACACGATTGTACCGCAAGTGTGCTCGATTACGCTTTGTGGAAGACCTTCAACTTGAAATATTTTAGTGAATAGTTACCTGTTTATCAAATGAGGTGATTTGGATCGCTTTTTTCACTTCGTTCTTCTGCTTTGAAAATTTTAATGGTATCTTTTAAAGCTATATCCATAAAATAGTCTCATTACCAGATCAACATGACCAGAATAGAAGCATTTGTAAAGTATTATAATTCATTAATTTCATCGTTTACTAAAAACAGTACGTATTATAAATCAAAATTATATGATGAAGGAAAAGCATCCTGTATATCGTATAATAAAAATTATGCAGTTGCTACTGGAATTATCGTTCGAATTTGCAAATGTCAGAGCAGACGATTATTTGAAAATTGCAGAGAAAATCACAATACGTATGCCGTAGTTTCCGATTGTATTATGAGAGAAGAATTTGCTAGTCATCAAGTAATAGTTTTCATTCCGACAATTTTTCAATCTGTAAAAAATAGTTACTACTCGAAAAAGAATAAAATTTACGAAAACATTCAAATAAAGTCATAAAACTATTGTATACATATTGTAAGCGAGATTATAGTGTCTTCACAATGAGAATTGTCGAATTTAATGAATAGTTAATTGTTTTTTATTTTGTAAGAGTTCTATACATTATTCAACTCTTTCTTAAGTAATAATTGGAAACTATTATTATAAAATTTTGTTTGGATAAAGTTTTACAGAATTTTATCCAAATCTACAAATGAATGTAAGAAGAATTAATTTTCGTATTTAATTTGGCTCAACTATGGATAACATTAGCAAAACTTTCCATTGAAAAATAAAATAATTATCGAGGTTTTACATAATCTCACAGGAAAAATTTTACTAAACTTTATTCAACGTAAGTTAGATGAATACAACATAAAATCATTCTTCCAATCCACGTTTATGATGATGACTAATGACTGTTTGAGCAAATAATAATGACAACAAATAAAAAAAAACAAATTAAGTATAAATAACGAAATCGAGATGACAGTTTTGGTGTATGTACGTGTGTACTGCACATGAAGTGGTCTAGAGTATCAAGACCGCGTTCATAAAGCGTTGGTTACCCGAGAAGCATCGGACTACTATAAGTATAAACATCATGGTACCAGAGTTTTTTTATAGTTGCAAGCTTACTTCTTTACTTTTGGATAATCCAGAAACTCACCCTCGGCCATCTATCGGCAAAAGAGCTAAATTGTGTGTGCAACATTTAAAGAAAATATTGTAGAACATTTTGTACATTTACTTTAATATCGACTATTTATTTATATTTATGAAAAACTTCACAAATAATTGTAAAACGGAAAATAATTAGAAAAAACTTCAATCTACCTGTATAAAAAGCGACTTCGAATGAATGCAAACACCACTTAAAATGCAAAACTAGTTGCAGAATTGAATACTTTTGTTTGGGACTATCTATATTATGAAAAATTTATAGCCAACTGAAAGTGAAATCACTTTTTCGCACGTGTATCCAAAGGCATTTTTACCTATATAAATTTCATTTTATATGATTCTGGTATAGGCAATGCAATCTCCCCTTTCCCCTGATCCCTGCACTTTTCTCAAAAAATAAAACTTATATGCGAGTAGGCTGCCGCTAATACCTAAAGCTTAGAGACTATTTTTAAATTAATTTTGAAAGATTTTTTGTCAAAATTACAAAACGTCAATTTCAGCAGGTCTGATCAAATTCAAAATCGCTGCTTCGCAATTATTATAAAAATTGTTAAATTACAATTTTTACTTGCTTGCAACTACAGTAATGATTTTAAAATATCTATAGACTCTAGGTATTAGCTACAGCGTCGTACTCGCGTGTAAGTTTTACTTTTTGAGAAAAATTTCATATATAGGAGGAAGGGCTAGTTATAGAAATAAAAAAATTAAGCGTACTTGTTATCACGTCAGAGTTAAGCACTTCGGTTGTGTTTATATTATATAAAGTAAGTGAATAA